CCATATCAGTGACAACTCCACACACCTATTTTCAGAATTTTGCATCAGATAAAATGTAAAATGTATAGATTTAGAATGTGTAAGATTCTGTGTTTTCTAGGAAGTTTGGAAATGTACATTTTAATGTCAGGGTAATAAAATCCATTTGAATGTTTTGCTAATGTTTTCAAAGAGTTCAGTCATGAAGACATATAGACTAGCAGAATAAGATTCCGGCATCTTTGCCTTACATCCTAATATCCATTAAATTAAGCAACATTTATTATCATTGCATTTTTCCAGTACATGTGCTATCTTTAATTCTGGCTCACTATTCCGAGGTGACAGAGTTAGGCTACAATCCTAACCCCACTTCCCTGGGAGTAAGCCTTATTGAATTCAGCAGGACTTACTTCTGACATGGTCAGCTCTTTGAGCACTTTAAGGCTCTGTGATTATTGTCTTCTTCAAATATTGAAAGGCTCTGATAGTTGTCACTATTTTGCAATCATACACATGATCGCATCAAGATGGTGATTTGTCTTTAGTTTCTTGCAGTGTTTTGCTGCAATGAGGTGCCTTTTGTTTTGTTTCCAATGTCATGCACATTCATAACGTAGACAGGATGAAAAGATAGATCCAAACTGAAGGAGATGATTGTTGAGACAAGTAATAAATTCTCCAGTTTGGAAGTTAATTTTAGAAATTCACCTGGTTGAACCAGAAATCAGGTAGTGTGTAAATATGGAGCAGACCGGATAAATAATAAAAGAGTAGAAACTGAGAAATATTTTCATTCTTAAGGATTTACTTACAATCATGAAAACATGCTATTCAACTGAATTGCCTACCCATTTGTTATTAGGAGTAATATTTATATAACGCTTGATACCAAAATAGGCTTCTAAGCGGTTTACATGTATGAAAATAGGATTGGAGCACTTTCAAGACACCTGTTTACTGAGCATTTATCCGACTGAGTGCCAATTAAATGAGATTGCATTATATTACACTTTCCCATGCATCTCCCCACCTTCTGTTGCCCAGAGGGGGGCAGCGGCGGGGGGACAGGAGTAGGTTTATTGCACAAAAGAACCCAATCCACATTAAGTGAGAAACCCGAATTTGCTGCTATGCCACTGAATCCCACAAGCAAAGTAGTGAGAATCTGGATGCACCCAGAGAGACCTCCAACATATTGGGCAGTATATGGACTTTAATGCATTCAATAGAACTTCCTCTTCCCTCCAGCTGTCCCATCTCAAAATCTCAGCTGGAGGGTTGGGAACCCCTAAACATTTTGGGGGGACTCATGGGGGGGAGTAGAGAAGAGGAGGTCTTGTTGCACCAGCAGAACTAAGTGTGCAGAGCATTGGACACAATCCATTATGTTAAAAACTGCTCTCTTTTTTGTTGTTTATGTTATGTGTACAGTGGATTCAACCTTACAATTTGGCACATCACTTCTCACAAGTCTTCTCCTTGAGTCTACAGGTGAAATTTGGGCAAATGCAGGAGGGATGGGAGAGGGGAATTCAACGTCATGGACCGTGTTCCTTCTTGTTGGACTTCAGCATCAAAGGTCACCTATGGTTTTCCTTGGTGTGATCCTCTTCATGTTCATAGTAGCTCTGGTGGGGAACAGCCTCCTTTTTTTTCTGATCAAGACAGACTCTGGTCTGCAGACCCCAATGTATTTTTTCCTCAGCCAACTAGCCTTCATGGACCTCTGCCAAGTTCTCACCATTGTTCCCAAAATGGCAGTGAATTTTTTAACCCAGAGCTACAGCATTTCCCTCTATGGTTGTGTCGTGCAGATCTCTGTCATACTGCTCTTGGGTGGGGCAGAGTGCTTCATCCTGGCGACCATGTCATATGACAGGTATGTGGCTATCTGCAGGCCGCTGCAATATACAGTTCTCATGAGGAGCAAGATCTGCAACATCATGTCAGTTGCTGCCTGGTTTGGGTCTTCTGTGCAGGCCTTGATCCGTTCCCTTTATGTACTGTCTCTTCCCTACTGCAAGTCCAATGTGATCAGACACTACATGTGTGATTACCCAGCCCTTGTTCAGTTGTCCTGCTCTGACAACTTGGCATATGATATAACAGCATACGTTAGTAATTTCATGATCTTTTTCATCCCCATCTCAGTCATCTTGGCTTCCTACATAGCCATCCTACTTCAAGTTCTCAGAGCATTTTCCTCTGGAAGGAGCCACAAGGCCTTGGGGACCTGCTTGTCCCATCTGTGTGTGGTTGGGATCTTCTTCGTTATGGCCATTTTGACGTACATGACACCTGCTGCTTCCTATTCAGCACAAAGGGCCATGATAAACACTGTGTTTTGTACCATTGTGCCTGCCATGATGAACCCTTTCATATACAGCCTGAGGAACCGGGACGTCTTAGCAGCACTGAGAAAGCTCTTTGCAAGATGCACAATGTGTCAATGAGTTCACCAGGAAACAGAATGGCAGGTACTCTCCCTTTGGAATTTATCCAGGGGATAAAATATAGTTGGAAGGAACTTAAGTGAGAGATACCAAATTTGTCAAAGGATGCTTCAGATGGGCGTATTATTGTGGGATTCTTGCTACTCACGAGTGAACAGAGTATGGAAACAAGAGTCTGCTTTAATTAAATTGTTTTTAGTTGTTGTCATTGTTCATGTTGTTTTACTGTAAAACCACTTGGAAATATTTTATGGAATCAACTAAGTAAATGAATAACACAGGTTTTCAACAGTGCCCATTTGGTGTTTTTGGCATTGAAATGTGTGGCTGTATTCCCCAACCCTCTGTGAGGAGAACCTGAGCTTACAGGGTTAAACAGCTCAGAGTGTACGCTCTGCCTACTATTGGGAGGGAACTTCTACGTCAGTTCCGAGAGACTCAAGTCTTTGTTCTCTCTCTCTACTTTCGCTTTTGAGGAGAGAGGACGTGTTTTCGCGATGCTGTTCGCTGTGATAGATAATGGATAGTCTGCTGTAAATAAAACTGCTTTTAGCTGCTAAGATCCTGTGTGGACTTTATTTAAGCACACTGAAGAATGCACTGGAGGTTTTTTTTGCAGTTTCCTCTTGCCGTTGACGATCTCTGCTATGCTCAGATGTGTCGGATTTTTGGAATGCAGAGGCCTGCGATGGGAAGTGTGCCGGACCTCACGCTTATCTGAGCAATAAATCAATATTCTCTGACATCCTCCCCATTTAATTCAGATTTATTTTTTCTGTGGAAAATCATATGTATGTGTGTGTGTGGGGGGGTGTTAATGTGTGCGTAATATTTCGAACAACCCCTTTGCAATACCTGAATGTCCTATTTACATTATTACTGCTATATGATTTGTGATGGTAGCAAAAAATGAATCCCAACATTCATACTGTAGCTTTCTTACAGATTATAATAACATAACTTACAGGACTGCTGTAATTTTTCTTGGGATAATGTATTATAGGAAATTTTTGGATTGCCCTAAAACATTGTATAAATTCTAAGGATCATTTCCCCTGTCTAATATATAACTTTCAGTGAAGGAGATGGGCATATTCTGGGCTGCCAGCTCCACCACCTCTCCTGAGAGACTGTTCCACTGACCAACAGCTGTTACTGCCAGAACGTTTTCCTGAATGTTTAGTCAGAATCTCCTTTTCTGCAACTAGAAGTCATTGCCTCGAGTCCTACCCTCAAGAGCAAGAGAAAACAAGCATGCTCCCTCTTCCGTGTGACAGCCCTTTACATATTTGAAGATGGCTATCATATTGCCTCTCAGTCTCCTCTTTTCCAAGCAAAACACACACAGCTCCTTCAAGCATTCAGTTTCTCTTTCCACAGTTCTCTTTCCACAGTTCTTAGGTCGGGATTTCTTTGTTCTTCCATCCTTGTGCTAGTAAGACCCTTGCTGCCGTTGTCACGTACATAAATATGTTATTCAATTTCCTTGGCAGGACAAAGGGATCATTTCTACACCCAAAGAAGAAGAAAAATCTCCAACAAAAGATTTTGTTTGGATACATTACACAGTAATTTTGCCCACGTTTTCACTGGTGTCTGTATGATCAATCACACTTTTATTTTCTAGGCATGCATGGGGAATTCAGAGAGAGGGTGAGATATATGGCTTAAAGTCTTACAGATTAAAACAAGGTTTATTTGTCTGAAGGTTTGATTTCAGCCTCCAAATAAAGTTGTAAGAACGTAAGAATTCTCCGCTGCTAAAGTAGCTCGCTTCCTTTCGGGCTTTACTTCCTTCCTGCTGCTTCTCCACATTTGGTCACTACAGGTGTAAGCTACACCTGCAATTTATTTGCCAAATTCCGACAAGGACTACAACAATGCACTATACATTTGAAGCAGTATCATACCTCTTTAAACTTCCATGTCTTCCCCCAAAGAATCCTGAGAACTTTAGTTCATTAAGGATAATCAGAGATGCATGGAGACCCCATTCCCCTCGGAGCAACGATTCGCAGATATCCCTAAAAAGAGGGATTGACTGTTAAATCACACTGAGAATTGAGGCTCTGAGAGATCATTCCAGTAGCAGCTGCCCAGAGCAATCCTATATACTTATTTACCTGGGTGTAATTTACCTGGATCCAATGGGACTTAACATCTGAGTAGATGTCTGGGGTTGTTCTGTGACAGACTCAAAAACACTGACAGACTCAAAAACATTGCTCTGACATTTTGTGGGTGGTGATGCCCTGATCTTCCATCAGCATGTCCAACAGCCAGAGATGATGGGAATTGTATTTCAACACTTTCTCTATGTCAGGGGTCAGCAAACTTTTTCAGCAGGGGGCCGGTCCACTGTCCCTCAGACCTTGTGGGGGGCTGGACTATATTTTTGGGAGAGAAAAAAAGAACAGATTCCTATGCCCCACAAATAACCCAGAGATGCATTTTAAATAAAAGCACACATTCTACTCATGTAAAAACATGCTGATTCCTGGACCATCCATGGGCCAGATTTAGAAGGCGATTGGGCCGGATCCAGCCCCTGGGCCTTAGTTTGCCTACCCATGCTCTATGTCAGTGATGGCCAAACTTGGCCCTCCAGCTGTTTTGGGACTACAATTCCCATCATCCCTGACCACTGGTCCTGTTAGCTAGGGATGATGGGAGTTGTAGTCCCACGTTTGGCCATCACTGCTCTATGTTAATGATGCTGGGACCTGACTAAAATTATGGGTTCCTCACATGGAGTCAGGAATGCAAAGGACATCGAATGGACCGAGAAAGATACAAGTCATGTCACTTAGCAATTTGGTTAATGATTGGAGAGGCTCCAATTTCCATTGGCCAGTCTCTTCCTCTCTGATTGATTGGTCCTTACAGGCTTGTTCCTGATTGGCAGGAAGAAGGCCACACCTCCTCTTGGCCACTATTTAAAGCTTAGGCAGAAGAAGGAAGACTTACTTGTTTTTGTGTTTGTCAGCAGCTGAGCCATCAAACCTTCACAATGGATGCTGTAAGTTGTCCAGAGGGAGTGGGCACTGTTTGGGGTATGAGAGGAGTTTAGTTTGTTCTTTAATGTTAGATAGGGTCAGCTGGTAAGCATTTTAGCTTACTGTTTAATCTTCTTAAGTATATTTGGAAGTCAGCCTGGTAGAATTGATGGAGGCTTATTTCTAAGTGGACCTGAGAGATTGCAGCCTTAATGAGTCGGGGAACATAGGTTGCCAGTTCTGTGTCAATAATAGGTTTCTGTAGCTCATTGTGGCATGCCCATATCTAAGGATTCTTGAAAGTTGCTCTAGCAAAACCTCCTTAAAACCGTTCTCCCCAAAAGCTCCGCTGCTGGACAGAATGCAAAAGGAACTAGCAATCCAATTGTGTCTGGGTCTACGAGGTTGCAAATCCTATTGTACTTCTGTGTACTTCTGGGTGTAAACGTGGGGTTAGAATTGCAGCCAGTGGTGGTAGTTTCCTAGTTCCTTGTCGTATGGGTCAAGGTGGATGAACTGTTCATAGCTGCAGCAGTTCCTTCTGAATGAAGGCTAGTATTACATAGTACTTCGAGCTCAAAGAACTGCCCTGGCCCTGCCATTTAGGCCAAGTGACATTCCAGCCTCAGGCAATTGACGCTGGGCGTTGAGAAAGGGTAGCAATTTCACGGGATCTAACTTCCCGTATCTCCTTACTGCTAGAAAAGGGAAAGGTTCCTTTAAATTGTTAGAGGTGGCCGGCTGTGCGTAATTTGCTTTGGGCAACAAAATGTATCTTTCACGGTCATTCCTGTTTTTGCTCGGTAGAGGATGAGACTCTTAATCTCGGGGTCATCGGTGGGTGAAAAATTCTTGCACTGCAGGGGTTGGACTAGATGACATTCATGGTCCCTTCCAACTCTACAATTATGTTTATCCATGAGTTGATTATGAACAGAAGGAGTCAAGGCTACGGCAGTTACTCATGCCTTCAGAGTAGTTCTTTGCTGATATAACGGCTGGTAATAAACAAATTTAATTATTGTGCTGTGGGTGTTACCTGGTATGCCATCAGAAATTATTTGGCGGTGCAGATAGATCTTAAATTGCTTAAAGCTCTCTGGACTTCATTTTATTGTTTTCCCATTTAGATAATGCCTATTACTTAAATTCACTTCAAAAGGTAGCAAAGCAACTCTGCTGGGTTTGGGGCCTTCCGGCATATTCCACAGAGTGTGGCCCTGAATCTCTGCCCGAAGGTTTTCCCCGATGATGCCACTGGGCTTACTAGGGGTTGTACATGTTCTCTGTTGCTCTGCAAGCCATGATACCACATGGGAGACTTCTGGGTAGGAGGATGCCAGCCATTGTCTGGTTTGGCCTTGAGGAGGGCAGAGGCCTTGTGAGCAAAACGGAAAGGCAAACGCTTAGCTATAGCTCCTCATTTGCGCCCGGGAAAGGGAGTGGGAGTCAAACAGACACTCAAGGAATAGTTTTGGAGAAAAAGCTTTATTTCTACCATCCATGAACTGGTAGAAGGAGCAAGTGTGATAACTCACAAACAAGCACAAGTTCACAGTCATTTGCAGAGAGTATATATTCCCCTTCCAGTTCCCTCCCCTTTCTCCTACTCTTCAGGAGTCCTGCCCCATGTTGAGTTTCCTGAGCATGTACAGAAAGCTCCTGTCTTTGGGAAGGGGTGTGTGTGAGAAGCCAAGGGGGTGGGTCGAGGAGTCTCGCAGTTCAGCATGTCCAAGATGTTGCAACTGAATGAGATAAAAGTCAGTTCTCAGGCTTGCTTGACAGAGTCTATTCATTAGCTTTTTGAAGCCTTCTTGTACTGATAAAAGTAACAGTTTGCCTATGCATCTTGTGAGAAAACAGAGGAAAACTTTAGCTGTGGATTTTTAGAAGAGAGAAAGGAATTTTGGACAGTTTTGAGGCCTGGTTGGGTGTGTGTGACTTCAGGCCTAGGTGTGGTCACCTGTCCTCACCTCCTTCAGTTCCTTTTCCCTTCCCCTTCCATGCTTGTAGAATTAAGTTCCCAGGTTTCTTGGGAAGGGTGTGTGTGTGTGTTTCCTAACACACCCCTAAAAGGAGTGTGGGCACCATCCATAACATGGCTGTTGTGGTGGGTTTGGGATAATGCAAAATGGTGCCTGTAGAATTGTGGCGCAATACAAGATGGCGGTGGTGGTGCAGCATATCATAATGCAAAATGGTCGCCACATCTGAAAGACCAGAAGCGGAACATAGCTGTCAACATTTCCCTTTTTTAAAGGGAAATTCCCTTATTCCAAATAGGATTCCTTGCAAGAAAAGGGAAAAGTTGACAGCTATGGACCAGAACATGATATGGACATGTCCCCTCCATCAATGGAAATAATGGCCACCGCCCCCACTTGCTCACAGAAAGAAGCCTGTTACATGTCTCCTTCATTCGGAATAGGTGGATATCTAATTCTGGAACCCAATGAGCTGTGTGCATGTTTAAGGGTTGTGTGTTCAATAATAGAGAGGCCAAGCCAGTGGGGGGTGGGGACAAGGAAACAATACTTCATTGATTAGGGTGCAGCTGGGCCATTTCTGGGAACTGCAAATATTTGCAGGGAGTTTCTTCCAAGAGAAACTGGAGTGGAAATGGTTCCCCTTTCCAGATAGGAATGACAGTGGAGAAGATGTTACCTGTGTGCATTCTAATGCTCTTTTTTTCTGCCTTTCCTCCAGCAAATAGTTTTTCGGCGCTTGTCAATCAAGCCTGGTGAATGCATCATAGTGAAGGGGAAAGTGCTTCCAAAGGCCGAGAGGTTTGTGTTGTTGAAGGTGGGCTGGTCTATTTTTGTTGGTGCAAAAAAAACCCAAAACCACAACACATATAGAAAGGAGAATTCCTGAATGCCAAGCTCTAAGTTTGGGGCAAGTACTCTTTGGTGAAGGAACTCCAGCAGAGATTTAAAGTCACAAAATATGCAGCAAAGCAGAGCGTGGAAATACAGGCTGTATTTAAAATATGCCCCTCCAAAATGTCCCCTTAAAAAAATTCTTTCCAAAGTTTCTCTTCCCCCTGCATAAGAAAAGACCACATGTTTGGTATGTTATAAATGGCTTACTTACAAACTCTCCAAAGGTCAGATTCATGTGCTTCAGAAAAGTTGCACAGGCAGTAAAACTTAGCTTGGTTACAAAGTGGTGAAAGTGCCTAAATTATTGGTATAGGAACTCAATCATGGTTTATGAGAGCCATGCTGTTGGAGCAACCAATACATTACTGGAATGATAAGGTAAAAAATACAGTACAACCATATATTTTTAATTAGTAATCTAACCAGCCACTGATGCTGATCACTACTAAAGGATGCTTAGTTTAACTTTCCTTAAGAATTATTAGATGCTATTTTTGTGTGCTTTTATGGGCTCCTCCAGATGAACTGTCCATCCTGCTTTTCAAAGCTTACGTGGAGCTTATACAATGCCTGCTCTTTATTGAGCGTTTGTTCTGACTGTGGAGGCAAAGCATAGCTTTTTTGGGGGGGTTACATATCTTCCCATTAATCATTATCTGACTCCTCTGAGTACAAGCAAGTTAAACGGTCCCATGATCACCACCACCAGTCTGTTAAAGGACTTGAAAGATGCAGTCAAAAAGCTTCAGCAGTGGCTTAGCGTGGGTTGGCAGTGCCTGGGGCCACATGGAGGGGGTGAGAGGGAGGTAAATGGATGTAGTACGCATGCACATTCAACTGCTTAACGACATCCGCATCACATGGGAGATCTGCAGAGATGAGAAGAGTTGACTTCCTTTGTCTGCAGAGGTCACTTCCTGGTTCACATGGAGAAGTTGCGACAGAAGCACACAACTGTATTGAGGCAGCACCGGGTGGTGAAATTTGCGCCCCGGATAACTGCCCCCACGCTACACCACTGCCAAACAGGACTTTAGCCAAGTCACAAACCCAGGCTAGGTTCTTGTCAATCAGCAACAGTATCCTACTTCCAATATCACCATAACAATAGAATCGTTAGTCTTTGTCTCTGCCAGCTTCTGCTAATCCACCTTGTGAGTGTTTGTCTCATGTGGTCCTCCTCTCTTTCCAGCTTTTCCCTCAACTTGTACCACAATGATTCAGACATAATCTTCCACTTCAATCCTCGCTTTGAAATCAACACCATTGTATGCAACTCAAGGAAGAATGGGCAGTGGGAGTTGGAGCAGCGGGAGTCGGTGTTCCCTTTCAAGCAGGGAGAAGACACCAAGGTGAGCAGGAATAGCCTCAGCACTGCCATAACTTCAAGGAGAGGCAGTGGTCATTCCTGGATTGGGGGGCTCCTTGGGCACTGGGGACTTCAAAATAAGTTGGATCCTTGCTCCATCTCTCTCAGCACTGCCTTCGCTACCTGGCATTGACTCTCCTGGTATTAAGTAGTGAGCGGACATAGCAGATGACAGAGATTTCTCCAAGTAGTTCTTTATAAGTAAACTGGAACTGAACTGCACTGCAAACAGCTCAGCCGGCCTGCTTTTATAGGCAGCTGACTGTCAACATTGTAGCAACAACAGCCCAAGGTTTCTCACCTAAAGTAACTGACGTGGACCTGAGTGAAAACTATATACACAATACCCCCTGGTGGCCAGGGTGAGAACTTCAATACATAACACCTGGGTTTCAGGGAGAGGCTACCTGAAGATTCTGAAAAACTGAACCCAGGTCTTCTGCATGTGATATGGTTGCTCTTTCCCCTGGGCTAAAGCATCCTCAGAAGGGCTGCTAACCAGATAGGAATGTAATGAAATAATTCTCTTGTGCTGCTTCTGCCTTTTTGAGGGTGTTCTGAAGTGAAGTATGATCATTTGTGGTGAATCTCTCTCTCAATTTCGGCACACAATTTCTTATAATAATTTATTATTTATACCCCACCCATCTGGCTGGGCTTTCCCAGCTACTCTGGGCGGCTTCCAACAAAAGATTAAAAATACATCAGTCATTAAAAACTTTCCCAAACAGGGTTGCCTTCACATGCCTTCTAAAAGTCAAATAGTAGTTGTTCTTTGACATCTGATGGGAGGGCGTTCCACAGGGTGGGTGCCACTACCGAGAAGGCCCTCTGCCTGGTTCCCTGTAACTTGTCTTCTCTTATTGAGGGAACTGCCAGAAGACCCTTGGAGATGGACCTCAGTGTCCGGGCAGAACGATGGGGAAGGAGACGCTCCTTCAGGTATACCAGACCAAGGCTGTTTAGGGCTTTAAAGGTCAGCACCAACACTTTGAATTGTGCTCAGAAACATATTGGGAGCCAATGTAGGTCTTTCAGGACCGGTGTTATGTGGTCTCGGCGGCCGCTCCCAGTCACCAGTCTAGCTACCGCATTCTGGATTAGTTGTAGTTTCTGGGTCACCTTCACAGTTAGCCCCACACAGAGTGCATTGCAGTAGTCCAAGCGAGAAATAACTGGAGCATGCACCACTCTGGTGAGACAGTCCGGTAGGCAGGTAGGGTCTTAGCCTGCGTACCAGATGGAACTGGTAAACAGCTGCCCTGGACACAGAATTGACTTTCACCTCCATGGACAGCTGTGAGTCCAGAATGACTCCCAGACTGCGTACCTGGTCCTTCAGGGGCACAGCTACCCCATTCAGGACCAGGGAATCCTCCACACCTGCCCGCCTCCTGTCCCCCCAAAACAGTACTTCTGTCTTGTTAGGATTCAATCTCAATCTGCTAGCCGCCATCCATCCTCCAACTGCCTCCAGACACCCCCTGCAATGCAGGCATCTCAACACATGGTTTCCCATCCAATTTGAAACCAGACCAGACCCTGCTTAGCTTTTCCAATATTCTAGCAATTTTATTGCTGCACCACTAGAGGGAAAGAAAGGATAGATGTGTTTTGATGTGAAAAGCATCAATTAGCTGGTTTTTTTATTAGTGTTAAAAAAGAGGGTTGCCTCCATGTCCTGTTTACAGTAGACCCCTTAAAATGAATGAGCTCAATTTTTCCATGCCTATTAATTCAGGGGGCCTAACCTAAGTAGAACTGGCTTTGGCTACAACTCTGAATTTCTCTCCCCAACCTTAACTTCTACAGCCAAATGATGAGTGTCATGGTTTCAGGTTGAACTGCCCTAACAGAACCCCTCCAAACAAAATTGGTCAGGAGGTGTAATTGCAAGGGTGATAGTAGTTTATTTATTCCCCCCCCTCTCTCCATTAATCTACTCCTGTTTGGGCCATAAATCACTTGGAAGCATCTAATTGCCTCTTTCCAAGGCACAACCCATGAACCTAACTCCTTGACTCTTCTTCTTCCCAGATCTCTTTGTCCTTTGATTCCAAGGAAGTGACTTTGAAGATCAAAGGGGGCCAGGAAGTCAAGTTCCCTAATCGGTTTGGGGTGGATTCTGCAAAAATATTCTCGGTGGAGGGAGACTTTGCGATCACAAGTGTTGAGTTTGACTGAAATTCAGCCATGTCTTATTTTGTATGCCTATAGAAGGAAAAACAGAAAATAAAATGTGTTGCTTGACCTTGTCTGCCTTGCCATTTTCTTGGGGATTCCTATTGACATACAAATAGCACTCCACTCTGGGAGGCAAACAGATACCAGCCAGCGACAAATGTGAACCTGGATTAAAGTTAGATTGTTCCTGATTTGAATTCCAGGTTTTCTCCTTGGCTAAGGTGTGAATGCATGCACAATTTCGTTATGTTCAGTGAGATTTATCTAGAACCCATGTTTCATTGAACTTAATTTAGTGTTTTTACCCTGCTGTTCCCAGATCAACAAAAATGAAACAGTCCCAGTTCTTGGGTTTAGAATCTTAAAAAGACAACACAAAAGGAAAATGGATTGGGAGGAGGAAGTAAGCAAACTCAGAACAGTTTTTAGTTACAATTTCTTTGAATGACCAGCTGGGATGGAAGCTGTTCAAGGAGAGCAGGAGCCAAAAGTTTTTGCTTTCTCTTCTCTTACCTCCTGACAGGTTATCATTTCAGGTGACTTCAGTAAATAAGCATTTAATAGAATGTATAGAAATGCAATAATTCTGCCAGTGAACTTGTGAAGCAAAAGCACTGAGCTCTTTCAAAGTGTGGCACAACCCTCTGGCTGTGTACACACACCATATGCTTAAAGGACCCTCCCCCAAAATGCTGGGAACTCTAGTTTTAAGGATGCTGAGCTTTGTATCTCTCCGAGGCGTAAACCACAGCTCCCATGATCTTACAGTGTGTGTGAAAAGTACGAATGCCGCCTTGGCCTTATGTATTTGAGCTGCTTGGTGACAGCAATCTGGTCCCTTGGTGCCTTAAAAGAACTGAAATTGAAATACTTGTACAACTTGTATACAGTGAGATTACACGAGCAACCAGTGTAATACAATGAATGCAGTACAGTTGTACCTTTGAAGTCAAATGGAATCCTTTCTGGAAGTCCATTCAACTTCCAAAATGTTCAGAAAGCAAAGTGCAGCTTCTGATTGGCTGCAGGAAACTCCTGCAGCCAATCGGAAGCCCCATTGGATGTTCGGCTTTGAAAAGAATGTTTCAATCGGGTGGGGTCGGGTGGTGGTGTTTCTATTATGGTTAATGTATGTAGGGTTTGGTGTCAGCGTTGCTTGTGCTGTTCACTTGTGTTCCTTTGGTGGTAAGAGAGGTTGGGGCTGGCCTAGGGTGTGGTTGTTTGTGGTTGGCTGTGGTGATCTTTGTTTTCGTATGTGAGTGAGGTGGGTGTTTGGATCAGGTTAGCCATACTGATTTGTATGCTGTTGGTGGATTATTGTAAATTTTTAAAAAATATATATATTCAATTTTATAAGGATAGGGAAGTACAGAAAGGGAAAAGGGGGAGGGGATAGATAGATAGATACATTAGAAATTTAAAAGACCTATAAAGATTATCAAATCCTACAAAGTACTACTACTACTACTACTACTAATAATAATATATTTGTACCCTGCCCATCTGGCTGGGTTTCCCCAGCCACTCTGGGCGGCTTCCAAAAAAATGAAATAAAAATACATTAAAAAGTCACACATTAAAAACATCCCTAAACAGGGCTGCCGTCAGATGTATTCTAAATGTCAGGTAGTTGTTTATCTCTTTGACATCTAATGGGAGGACATTCCACAGGGCGGGCGCCACTACCAAGAAGGCCCTCTGCCTGGTTCCTTGTCACTTTGCTTCTCACAGTGAGGGTACCACCAGAAGGCCCTTGGTGCTGGACATCAGTGTCTGGGCAGAATGATGGGTGTGGAGACGCTCCTTCAGGTCTACTGGGCTGAGACCATTTAGGGCTTTAAAGGTCAGCACCAAAACTTTGAATTGTGCTCGGAAATGTACTGGGAGCCAATGTAAGTCTTTCAGGACATGTGTTATATGGTCTTGGTGGCCACTCCCAGTCACCAGACTAGCTGCCGCGTTCTGGATTAGTTGTAGTTTCCGGGTCACCTTCAAAGGTAGCCCCATGTAGAGCACATTGCAGTAGTCCAAGCAGAAGATAACAAGAGCATGCACCACTCTGGTGAGACAGTCTCCGGGCAGGTAGGGTCTCAGCCTGCGTACCAGATGGAGCTGGTAGACAGCTGCCCTGGATACAGAATTGACCTGTGCGTCCATGGACAGCTGTGAGTCCAAAATGACTCCCAGGCTGCGCACCTGGTCCTTCAGGGGCACAGTTACCCCATGCAGGACCAGGGAGTCCTTCACACCAGTCCCCCCCCCGTCCCCCCAAGAACAGTACTTCCGTATTGTCAGGATTCAACCTCAATCCATTAGCTGCCATCCATCCTCCAACTGCCTCCAAGCACTCACACAGGACCTTCACCGCCTTCACTGGTTCTGAGTTGAAAGAGAGGTAGAGCTGGGTATCATCCGCATATTGATGGACACCAAGCCCAAACCCCCTGATGATCTCTCCCGGCAGCTTCATGTAGATGTTAAAAAGCATGGAGGGGAGGACAGAACCCCGAGGCACCCCACAAGTAAGTCTGAACACTCATCCCCCCCCACCACTTTCTGAACATGGCCCAGGAGGAAGGAGCAGAACCACTGTATAACAGTGCCCTCAGCTCCCAGCTCCTCTAGACGGTCCAGAAGGATGTTATGATCGATTTTATCAAAAGCCACTGAGAGATCCAGCAGAACTAGGAAACAGCCCTCATCTTTGTCCCTAGCCCACCAGAGATCATCAACCAGCACGACCAAAGCAGTTTCAGTCCCATGATGAGACCTGAATCCCGACTGGAAGGGATCCAAATGGTCTGCATCCTCCAGGCATGCCTGGAGTTGTTCAGCAACCACCCACTCAATCACCTTGCCCAAGAATGGAAGATTTGAGACTGGGTGATAGTTGGCCATACTGGCCGGGTCTAAAGATGTTTTTTTAAGAAGTGGTTTAATGACTGCCTCTTTCAGTGGGTCTGGGAAGACTCCCTCACAGAGGGAAGCATTCACCACCCCGCAGAGCCCATTGCCCAGACCTTCCCAGGTAGCTTTTATAAGCCAGGATGGGCAAGGATCAGGGACACAGGTGGTTGGTTTCACGCATCCAAGCAGCCTGTCCACATTCTCGGGGGTAACAGATTGAAATTGATTCCATGCAACTTGACCAGGCAGGGCTCTAGCACTCTCCCGCCCCGACCCTGCTCCCACAGTAGTGTCTACCTCCTTCCGAATATTAGCAACTTTATCTGCATAAAACTTTGCAAAATCGTTGCAGGAGATCTTGGGGTCTTTACAAGGCCCCGGTGGTAAAGGTGGTTCCGTTAAATTGCAAACCACCTGAAAGAGTCTCCTGCTACTATTTTCTGCAGATGCAATAGAGGCGGTGAAGAAAGTCTTCTTCGCCATTGCTATCGCCGCTTGGTAGGCTCGACGTTGAGCTCTAACCTGTGTCCGGTCCAATTCAGAATGAGTTTTCTGCCACCAGCACTCTAGCCGTCTCAGCGACTGTTTCCTCACCCTCAGCTCCGAAGAAAACCATGGGGCTGTCCGGGCTCCATGCAGTCGGAGAGGGCGCTTCGGAGCCAGACAGTCGATAGCCCTGGTTAACTCCGCATTCCAGCGGGCCACCGGGGAATCAGCTGAAAGTCCATCAACGTGGGATAAAGCATGCCCTACCACTCTCTGGAAACCATTTGGATTCATTAAGTGGCGGGGGCGGACCATCCGCATTGGTCCCACCTCCCTGAAGAGGAAAAGGGTCACGGAGAAGTCCAGTTGCACCAGGAAGTGATCTGACCATGGCACTTCTTTTGTTTCACTTTTACCTAGTGTCATATTACCCACGTCACTAGAGGTGAACACCAGGTCTAAGGCATGTCCGTGACTATGAGTTGAGCCAAACTTATTCAGGGACAGCCCCATGGAGGCCATGCTTTCCACGAAGTCCCAAGCAGCCCCTTGTAAGGTCATGTTGGCATGGATGTTAAAATCCCCTAGGACAACCAAACTAAGTATCTCCAGGAGAACATCCGCCATGACCTGAAGCAGCTCGGGCAGGGAATCCTTGGTGCAGCGGGGAGGTCAGTACACCAAAAGGAATCCTGTACTGCCCCTATCCCTATTGCCCAGCTTCCAGAACATGCACTCAGAGAACTGGGTCTTCCCAGTAGGACGCCTGATGCAAGCTAGTGACTTCCTAAAAATCACTGCAACCCCCCCCCCATGACCTGGGTTGCTGTGTGTAAGAGAAACCTGGTGGACAAGCAGCAGCTAGGACAGGACCATCTGCTTCATCCAACCAAGTCTCTGTTACACATGCCAGGTCAAGTCCTCCATCCACGATCAAGTCATGGATGGCAGTGGTCTTATGAATCATTGACCTAGCATTGCACAGCAACACCTTCAGGTCATGTGGGTTTCCCTTGTTGAGTGCAAATATAACATTGAATCACAATCATACAAAATAACTCAGCAAGCTGACATTTATCAAGAGTTAAACAAAGGTTAGTGTACTAAATATTATTTCCAATTCTAGGTAGTTTGCTATCGGAGAAATACCATATATGATTATAAAAAACTAAAGCAAGAATTATTTTAAAATATGATTTCATTTCTAGATCAGACAGACAAGATTTCTTCTACTATATATTTTTTTCTTTATCATATACACACAAAGCTTCTATTTTTAAACAGGAAATTTTTTTGTAACTAAGGTCTATTTTACAAATCCATACAGATGTTCATTTTGTTACAGTTCTGTTAAGTTGTATACAAATTATAAAGATGAGTCAATTATTTACTAAATTGGCGAGTTTTGCCATTACTGCATATTCTGATAGTTTCTCTTTCCATGCATCTATTTCAGGACATATGTCAGATTTCCATATGTTGGCCAACACCACTCTGACTGCTGTGGTCATATAACTAAATAGTTCCACTGATGATTTCACAATACAGTAGCTGAAGGAGTCATTCCCAACAGCATAGTTTTGGGGTCCAATGCAAATTTAGGGTGGGTTTTTTACATTTTTTCATTTCGAAATGAACTTTCCTCCCAAACTTTTTGGTCTTTTCACAGGTCCACCATAAATGGAAGAAGATTCCTTAAGGTCTATCACATTTCCAGCAGTGTCCATTCATTGCATTCTTCATCTTCTGTATATTTTTCAAAGTTATATACCATTGAAAGAACATTTTTGTACATTCATACTTCATGTTACGGCCGCTTCAGGTTACGTGTTTTTGGGTTGCGGACCGCGGGAAACCTGGAAGTACCGGAACGGGTGACTTCTGGGTTTCGCCGCTCGCCCATGCGCAGAAGCGCCAAATTGCGCTGGCGCCTGTGCAGACGTGGCGCTTAAGCATGCGAACGCTGTGGGTTGCGGACATGCCTCAGTCACGGGTTATGTCTGCAACCCGAGGTTACACTGTACCAATTTTCTTTTAGGGCTTAACTTGCAGTAAATTTTATTCCTTTATTCATAATTGTTCTCATTGTTCCACTGTGAACTGCTCTTAAAATTTTTGCATCCATTTTGTCATACAAGGTTTTGCTTGTTCGGGCTCGGTGTCATATTTGAGTAATAGTTTATAAATTTTACCCAGAAGGTAGAACTCTGTTATGATGGACTCAAATTCTGTCTTTTCACCAATTTAAATGTTTGCCATACAGTGTTTCTTGAATCTGGATATTAGTTGACAGTATGTAAGCAGTTTCATATTTTTTCTCCTCTTTAATACTTTGACATGTATTTGATCTCTTCTTGAAGATGAACCATATCTTGGTACAATATATAGTCATATATTCTGCTATCGGCTCTAATAATAATGTTCCAGTGGTGACATTAGCAGTGCAGGTAAGGGCATTTTTGTGATTTTTGTAGTGCAACTCATGATTTTTGTGGTGCAGGCTGTGCCCCTGGCTATGACGTGTGATTTGACAGCGATTTAGGGGTGGCCCAGTGCAAAAAGCGTGAGGATCCATGAGGATCTGAGCTTCGAAACCACGTTTTTGGGCCATGGTATGGCCAGGAAGCCGTGGATCCTAGTTTTTTGTGTTGCAGGCTGTGCCCCTGGCTATGACGTATGATTTGATGGTGATTTAGGGGTGGCCCAATGCAAAAAGCATGAGGATCCGTGCTTCGAAACCATGTTTTTGGGCCACGGTATGGCCAGGAAGCCGTGGATCCTAATTTTTTGTGTTGCAAGCTGTGCCCCTGGGCATGATGTGTGATTTGACGGTGACTTTGGGCTGATCTAGTGCAAAAAGCATGAGGATCCATGAGGATCTGTGCTTCAAAACCACGTTTTTGGGCCACGGTATGACCAGGAAGCCGTGGATCTGAGCTTTTTGTGGTGCAGGCTGTGCCACTGGACATGATGTGTGATTTGACAGTGAGTTTGGGGTGGCCCAATGCAAAAAGCGTGAGGATCCATGAGGATCCGTGCTTCAAAACCACGTTTTTTGGCCACGGTATGGCCAGGCAGGCCTGGATCCGAGTTTTTTGTGGTGCAGGCTGTGCCCCTGGCTATGATGTGTGATTTGACGGTGATTTAGGGGTGGCCCAATGCAAAAAGTGTGCGGATCCATGAGGATCCGTTCTTCAAAACCACATTTTTTGGGCCACGGTGTCGCCAGGAAGCCATGGATCCGTGATTTTTGCGGTGCATGCTGTGCCCATGGCCATGATGTTTGATCTGATGTTGACTTTTGGGCTGATCTAGTGCAAAAATCATGAGGATCCATGAGGATCCGTGCTTCAAAAACACGTTTTTGGGCCATGGTGTTGCCAGGAAGCCGTGGATCCATTATTTTTGTGTTGCATGCTGTGCCCCTGGACATGATGTGTAATTTGACAGTGAGTTTGGGCTGATCTAGTGCAAAAATCATGAGGATCCATGAGGATCCGTGCTTCGGAACCACGTTTTTGGGTCACGGTATGGCCAGGCAGGAGTGGATCCGTGATTTTTGTGGTGGATGCTGTGCCCCTGGACATGATGTGTAATTTGACAGTGAGTTTGGGCTGATCTAGTGCAAAAATCATGAGGATCCATGAGGATCCATGTTTTTTAACCATGTTTTTGCGCCATTGCTGCACCACGAAACAGTGGATGTGTGATTTTTTTTGTTCTGCCTACAGACTAAGATGTGGTCTACAGTATCATGGTGTTTTTATTTTGCTTCAATATAAAAATCATATGAATTCATGAGGATCCATGCCTCGGATCCATGTTTTAGTGGTGCTGCAGTGCAGCAAAGTGTTGGATCCACGTTTTTTATAGTCCAGTTTGTAGGCGTGCCTTCCAGGTGTGATTTGACACAGCATTTATTGGAGTTATTTATAAAAAAGTGGAGGATCCATGAGGATCCGTGTAGATCCACCTTTTACCCAGACCCCTGGAAATCTCTCACTTTTTTTTCAGATTTTTTTTTAAGACATCAAAATATCTTCCCTTCAAAAATAAGGAAATAACATAAAAATGAAATGGGGGGAAATATCCCAGAAATAACATTAATTGCTTATGGTCTGAAAAAAAAGCTTTTTATTTTTTATTTTATTGAAAGATTAATTACTTCCAATTGTACTGTAACTACACAAGAAAAATGAGTGAAGATGGTGCTGGCAAAATAAATGAAGAAATCTTTTCAAAATTCTATATTCTTCCCATTTCAGTTCCTTCTATGTGGAGAAATGTAAATTTCCCCACTCTGCATCCCTGTATTATAAATTCCAGCCTTGCTGCCCTCCACAGTATAACCGGGAAAGGAAGGAAAAGATATAGGGTACAGAATGGAAAAACAACAACATGGTACTACTGGCACTGGGTCATGATTTTTAATTTTCTTTTGCATTTTTGTCTGCCATCTAGAAATGCTGTTAGATTTTGTTGCACACCACCCCAAGAACCCAGAGATTACAGGAGTTTGAGGCGCTTACCCAGGGTTTGTGTTTCCTTTTGGAATGAGGCACAGCAGAGACGGTGGTGTCTTCATAATCTATGGTTTATTTGCAGATCTATACCACAGAGGGGCTCACAACATTGACACCCTAAGAGGGTCTTGTTTCTTTCATAGCCGTAGCCTTGGATTCAAACAGAAATCAAACCTTGCTTTCAAGCCTTGCTCCGACTCTCTCCAGCGTACTTCTAGGTCACATTACTTGAAAAACTCTGGCTTTGGTGGTGGCGGTTGTTGTTGTTCTACACATTTTCTGTCTTGCTCAGAGCCTCCTTTTCCTTTGTTCTCTTAATGGCCCATTACCCTGGCATGCATATATATATATATATATATATATATATTCAAAATTAAAACAAAACATATTATCCAGAAACATATCATCCTTATACCCCCCCATTTTTCCTCCCTCCCCTCCCTCCCCCCACAGAACCCACCCACCCCCACCCCTCGACTTCCCTCAGTTCCAGTCTTTGATTTCTCTAGAAATGCTGTTTTCTGCATGTTACACAGTTGTATAGATCCTCAAACTATTTAGCTGATTATTATCAATAAAAAGTTTGTGAATGTTTATTCAAAACCAGCCAAGGAGCCCAGTTTGCTTTGTTGTGTCTTCAAATACTTTGTAAAGGGTTCCAATTCATCTTTAAAGTCACAGTTCCCCTTGTCCTGTAGCTTGTTTGTCAGATTAGTCAGTTCCACATAATCCATCAACTTCCTGGATCCAGCGGTTAGAAGGATCTCGCATATAGCCTACTTCCTTCTCCCCAAACTCATAGCAATATTTTGACTTGTCCCGATTCAAAAAATGCTGCTTCTCAAATGCGAGGTTGATTTCTCTTGCTGCCCTCAGCCCTGACATGATTGCGGAGTCCAGCCAGCCGTGGACTTGGGTAGTGTGTTCCCCAGCAAAATAGATCCTGCCTTCTGGCGCCTTGAGAGGTTCGCTGTAATCGACAAACTGGTAAGGGGTGAAGGAAGCAAAGCCAGCCATGGAATACTTATCCAAGCTCCACCTCTTTATTACGCATGACTGGCACGCAGCCTGGATGTAATCCTTGGGCAGCCGGTGGATGGCGGACAGGTCATCCAGGATGATGCTAATGATGTCATCATGGCTGAGGGAATGAAAGAAACTGGAGTCGTCACTGTAGACGTAGCTAGCCAAGACAACCCCAACGTCGCCAGAAAAGTTTTGACTGACGTAGTAGACGAATCGGGCCGGGCGATCAGTTGTGGACTTCCCACCGCGGATCCCGTCAGCTTCCCAGAACTTCTCGGTGCAAGCGAGGAAGACTTTGGTGGCGCTCCTGTAGTGGATGGACCGCAAGGCGTGGCTTTTGTCACGCGACAGGGGCGGCTCAAAATGGATGCGCCTCGTGGCCTTGGCGGTGGAGGTGACCACGGCGTAATCGGCCGTCACGCTGAACAGTGCTTTGTTGGCGGTTTGATAAACCGCGGTGACGCTCTCGCCTGCCTGCTCCATCCTGACCACTTTGCTACATAATTGCACCCTTTTTGAAATGTTTCTGTAAATGGCTGTTGGCAGTTGATCAAAGCCTCCTATGATTTGATCAAACCTGCAAAAAACAAAACAAAACAAAACCGAATGCAGATGAATGGATAGGACAAGCTTCCTCAAACTCGGCCCTCCAGGTGTTTTAGGCCTACAACTCCCATGATCCCTAGCTAGCAGGACCCAGTGGTCAGGGATGATGGGAATTATAGTCTCAAAACTTCTGGAGGGCCGAGTTTGAGGAAGCCTGGGATAGGAGATGGAAGAGTCCTCTTCAGCTGCACTGGGAACTGCTGTCGTGCATTGCTCAGTTGTTGCTCAGTTCAACACAGACAAAAGAAAGCATTTCTGAACACAGCACAGAGTTAATGTGGAGATGGCCACCAAGTCAGATGACTTTGAAAGAGGATTAGATAAGTTTATGGAAGGTATTCAATGGCTTTTATTAATTGTGGAAACAATGGTACCTTGGTTCTCAGACTTAATCCATTCTGGAAGTCCATTCCAAAACCAAAACGTTCCAAAACCAAGGCACACTTTGCCAGAGAAAGTAATGAAAAATGGATTAATCCATTCCAGACTTTTAAAAACAACCCCTAAAAGAGCAATTTGACATGAATTTTACTATCTAACGAGACCACTGATCCATAAAATGAAACAATAATCAATGTACTGCCGTTACACAATCAATTAATGAATCAGCATTGAACTGGGTTCCACACAGTCACAAAAACAAAAAAAGAGCCACAAAAATGCAAAATAAATAATAAAAACAGACAGACCTCAGCATGGCACTCAAAACGGAAGCATAACACTCAAAATGGAAGCGTAACACTCAAAACGGAGCACATTTGGTTTCTGAAAAAAGTTCGCAAACGGGAACACTTATTTCCAGGTTTGCAGTGCTTTGGTTCCAAGTTGTTTGAGTACTAAGGCGTTTGAGAACCAAGGTTTCACTGCATATTATCCAAGGGGATAGCTCAGCTGGTTAGTGTGTGGTGCTGATAATTCTAAGGTTGCAGGTTCAATCCCCTTAAGGGATGGCTGCGAATTCCTGCATTGCAGGGGGTTGGACTAGATGATCCTCAGGGTCCCTTCCAAATCTGCAATCTATGATTCAATGCATGCTGGGTATCACAAGTGGGGAGAGTGGCTATTGAGCTTAGGTCCGGCTTGCAGGCTTCCCATAGGCCTCTGGTCTAGATGGAACTTTCGCAAGAGCCAGCTGGACTCTTACATCTTTATGTTGACTTTGTTGTAGGGAGAGGGAGCATATTTTATCTATCATCCATCCATCCATCTATCTATCTATCTATCTATCTATCTATCTAATCTATCATCATCAATTTGATTTATATACCAACCATTATTCAAAGATCCCAGGGTGGTGTACAACATTAAGAACAAAATAATAAAATGCAGAGCATAATACAGGACTGCATGATAAAATAATCATAATAACAGTCCGCCCATCCCTTTAACAGGTCATCGATTTAATGGCTGAAGGCCTGAATAAAGAGGAATGTTTTTGCTTGGTGCCTAAAGATATGTAATAATGGCCACGGGCGTAGCCAGGATTTTTGTTGGGGGTGGGGCAGGCCTTTTGTTGAGGAGGTAGCCCTTTTGTTGGCGAGGCCTATTGTTGGGGAGGCAGAACCTCGGCTTGCTATACATTTTTATAGATTTTTATTTATGGGGGGGTGCTGCCCCCTGCCCCCCTTAGCTACACCCATGATAATGGCACCAGGCAAGCCTCTCTGGGGAGAGCATTCCACAGACGGGGAGCCACCACAGAAAAGGCCTGTTCTTGTGTTGCCATCCTCCGAACCTCTTGGGGGGACGGGGGACATAGAGAAAGGTCTTGGATTACAAGCTCAGGGTCTGGGTCAGTTCGTATGGGGAGAGGCATTCCTAAGGTATTGAGGTCCCGAGACGTTCCTACAGTCCTAGTTTTAGAAATGAACCAAAAGGCTACCTAGTCTGAAGAAGAGCAGATTACAGTGGTACCTCAGGTTACATACGCTTCAGGTTACAGACTCCGCTAACCCAGAAATAGTGCTTCAGGTTAAGAACTTTGCTTCAGGATGAGAACAGAAATCATGCTCCGGCGGCACGGTGGCAGCAGGAGGCCCCATTAGCTAAAGTGGTGCTTCAGGTTAAGAACAGTTTCAGGTTAGGAACAGACCTCCAGAACAAATTAAGTACTTAACCCGAGGTACCACTGTATTTACTTCAGCAACAATAGGTAAAGGGTAAAGGGACCCCTGACCATTAGGTCCAGTCGTGACTGACTCTGGGGTTGCAGCGCTCATCTCGCTTTATTGGCTGAGGGAGCCGATGTACAGCTTCCGGGTCATGTGGCTAACATGACTAAGCCGCTTCTGGCGAACCAGAGCAGCGCACGGAAACGCCGTTTACCTTCCCGCCAGAGTGGTACCTATTTATCTACTTGCACTGCATGCTTTCGAACTGCTAGGTTGGCAGGAGCAGGGAGCGAGCAACCGGAGCTCACCCCGTCGCGGGGATTCGAACCGCCGACCTTCTGATCGGCAAGTCCTAGGCTCTGTGGTTTAACCCACAGCACCACCCATGTCCCTTTCAGCAAGAATAAATCCTCCCTATTTCCTTGCAATGTGTATTTCTGCTTACCTCCTTCCAGAAGAGAAGATCATTGCATCTCTCATACTTTCAACGAATGACTCGAAATAGCCAGCATCTTCACTGAGCAAGTCCCCAATCATTTCGACAGCTCCATGACTCAGATTTGCTATTTCAGTTAAATATTCCTGTTATGGGAAGAGGAGGGGGGAATAACCACCTTTAAGGACGGCACTCAACAAAGACACTTAAGCAAACACACCACCAAGCAACAACTGAATTTGGAATCTAGTACACGAGACATCCTGAGGTTCTCAGGCTTTGGGATTTGACTCTTCTGGAAAGCAAGGAATTGGATCCTGCAAAAAGTAGCAGTGCAGTCCTCTATATATCTATCTCACTGAGTTCAATGAGGCTTACTTTCAGTCCCAGGTAAGTAAACATAGCCTTAGGGCAGCCATAGGCAAACTCGCCCCTCCAGATGTTTTGGGACTACAACTCACATCATCCCTAGCTAACAGGACCAGTGTTCAGGAATGATGGGAATTGTAGTCTCAAAACATCTGGAGGGGCGAGTTTGCCTATGCCTGCCTTAGGGCTCATCCACCCTTCTGTTTGTCCTGAAATTCCTAGGCACAGTTCTAAGAGGTCTGCTTCTTTCCCCGGGGGAAACCTATTCTTTAGCACAGTGGTTTTCAGCCAGTGTGCCACGGGCAACACTGGCCTCCATCCAGGACAGGGATAGACTAACTTCTGCTGTCTATACTCTGGTAACCTCGAGGTTAGATTACTGCAACACGTTGTGCATGGGGCTGCCTCTGAAGACAGTTGGGAAAATTTTGCTGGTGCAGAATTTGGCAACCAGGTTGCTCACCAGGGCGAGACAGTTTGAGCATAGTGTACTTTATCCTGGCCTGACTGCAAGTGTACTTTATCCTTTATCTGACTGCACTGGCTGCCCATGAGTTTCTGGGCCCAATTCAAAGTACTGGTTCTGATTTATAAAACCTTAAACGGCTCAGGACTGCAAAGGGTCAAGGGCTGCCTCTCCCCATATGAACCAACCTGGACCCTGCAATGATCCCCTGAGGCCCTTCTTCATGTGCCCCTGCTCCCCAGGATATCTAGGTGGGATACCTAGGAAGCTGGGTAACTACTATAGGCTTGTGTAATATTCTAATAATATAACAGAAGTGCGCCAATTAAGTTTTTACTGAAACTTTGCACGTCGCAAGTTTGGGGCTTTGCTTTAGCTAGTTTTGTTAACTTATTGGGTTTTATTGCGCTAGCCAAAGGCCATGGTAACATCCAAAGAACGAAAAGAAAAGAAAAGGCACGCGCGCGGGGTGGGGGGAGAATCGTTCTTTTTTACCTTGGTTGAGAAGGTGTCATATTTATCTAGCACGTAGCTACAGTTTGTCCTCTTCAGCTCTTCTTCAAACTGGGATGACCATAAAGAAAAAGTCAGAATGCATTTCATAGTTTACCTACATTGGTTCCCAGTACGTTTCTGCGCACAATTCGAAGCGTTGGTGCTGACCTTTAAAGCCCCTAAATGGCCTCGGCCCAGTATACCTGAAGGAGCGCCTCCACCCCCATCGTTCTGCCCGGACACTGAGGTTCAGTGCAAAGGGCCTTCTGGCGATTCCCTCACTGCGAGAAGTGAAGTTACAGGTAACCAGGCAGAGGGCCTTCTCAGTAGTGGCGCCCGCCCTGTCGAACGCCCTCCCACCAGATGTCAAGGAAATACACTCACTATCTGACTTTTAGAAGACATCTGAAGGCAGCCCCGTTCAGGGAAGTTTTTAATATCTGATGTTTTATCATGTTTTTAATATTCTGTTGGGAGCCGCCCAGAGTGTCTGGGGAGGCCTGGCCAGATGGGCAGGATATAAGTAACAGATGATGACGACGATGATTACTACAATGTGATATGCTGCCTGAAGAGGTGCTTTCTTTTATCCGTCCCAAATTCTCTAACCTTCAGCTTAAATGGATGCCCCCAAGTTCTAGTGTTGTGAAAAAGGGAGAAAAAACCCCATCCACTTTCTGTATACCATGCATAATATTTAGCATCACATAATCTTAAATGGGACGCGGGTGGCGCTGTGGGTTAAACCACAGATCCTAGGACTTGCCGATCAGAAGGTCAGCGGTTCGAATCCCCACGACGGGGTGAGCTCCCATTGCTCGGTCCTGCTCCTGCCAACCTATCAGTTCGAAAGCACGTCCAAGTGCAAGTAGATAAATAGTAGATAAATACCTTCCAGCGAGAAGGTAAACGGCGTTTCCGTGCGCTGCTCTGGTTGGCCAGAAGCAGCTTAGTCATGCTGGCCACTGACCCGGAAGCTGTACGCCAGCTCCCTCGGCCAATAAAGCGAGATGAGCACCGCAACCCCAGAGTCGGCCACGACTGGACCTAATGGTCAGGGGTCCCTTTACCTTTTAGTCTTAAATATCCTTATGCCTCCACTTTGTAAAAATATGTATCCCCCAATATAGTAACCTTCCCTCATAGAGGAGTTGCTCCAGTCGCTTGGTCGTTTTACCTTTCCCAACTCTACAATATATTTTAGGAGGGTGTGTTGGCTAGACTGGCTTTTGGTTCTTTCCACCTTACGGTGTTAATGTTTGGAACAGGACACAGAATGTTTTCCCAATTAAAAGAAGCAGAAAAAGCATCCCAACCTGACGGAGGGACTCCGCATACAGCTGACCAGCGGTTTTGCCTTCTTCTGAGGGATACACAGTGTAATTCAAGAGGCTGGGGTTCCTCTTGACCTCCCCGACTCGCTTCCTGATGTTGTCAATCAAATACCAGGCATTCTCATCCTCTGGAAAGAATTCCGTCAGACTCAGGCCAAACTTTCTGACATATTCGTGGACGATCCTGGGGCATGAGAAGGGGACAGTGCATAGTCAAAAGAGTGGAATTTGCTTTTCCAAGAGGCAGCGTTGCCCACCCACTTGGATGCCTTTAAAAGAGGGTTAGATCAACACATGGAGGGCAAGGCTAGCAATTGCTACTGGCCATGATGGATATGCTGTGCTTCCACGGTCAGACGCAGATATTATTATTATGTTATCATTATTTACTAGGTTAATATACAGCCGTACCTTGGAAGTCGAATGGAATCCATTCCGGATGTCTGTTTGACTTCCAAAATGTTCGGAAACCAAAGTGCGGCTTCTGATTGGCTGCAGGAAGGCCCTGCAGCCAACCGGAAGCCGTGCCAAACGGTACGCTTCCGAAAATCGTTCGAAAACTAGAACACTCAATTCCGGGTTTCGATCGTTTGGGAGCCAAGGCGTTCGAAATCCAAGGAATGACTGTACCGCTCTTCATCTCAGGGCGGTTCACAAGATAAAAGCACATATAATTAGTCAAAACAGGAGCACACAAGCACATTTCAAAGGCTGCAGAATATTAATCACCCACCCGCCACCATATATATATATATATATATATATATATATATATATATATATATGATCACATATTAAAAAACGTTTAGGGTTACTCTCATTTTCCTACTCGTATTGAAATACTGCCTCTCAGTGAGGCCAAACTTTGATTCACAAAATGTTTAGGGCTATGTGTCCCCCTGCATCCCCCCAGAAAAAAGCACTGTATATAATGAATATATAAACAGACTGGGGGTGGGAGAGATAGCAAAAAAGGTTTGGTAAGCCCTGTGCACAGCACTTCCTAAACACCTAGTAGTAGTAGTAGTAATTATTATTATTATTATAGTACCACACCCATCTGACTGGGTTGCCCCAGCAGCTTCCCATTGCCCAGCGCTTACAAATAGTCACTATCTCTCGACTTTATCTTCTTCACAGGTGCATTGTGGGGCAAAAGGGAGGTGAGCTATGTTTGCCACCCTGGGGAAGGGAGGAATAATGAGTGTTCCCAGAAGAGGTCCTGCCTCCTCCTCCTCCCATCAGCTCTGTCGCGTTCACAGAAAACAAACTGCCATAGGCCTCGCAGCCAAGATTTTCTCCAACTAGTGGGCCACATCCTAGAAGTCATACATTGTCTTCAATTCCATATACACTTCCTTCCTCATGCAACAGGCCAACAGCTCTTTTGTCTCCCACACAGCCAAGCGCACCAGGACACATGTCCGTGGAAAGAGCCGTCACGGATGAGCAAGGCGGGATTTATGCATGCTCAGCAGATGAAGTGAAAGGCATGTGGTAACCTCCCGTCTCACCTGTGTACCTGAGGCAAACGCATGGGCCCCAGATCTGCATACCAGCCTTCTTGCTCGTTTCGATACGTCTCCACTCGTCCCCCCACGCGGTCGCTGGCTTCAAGAACTGTCACCTGAAGGCAAACAGGACAGCAACTGCTGTATCAATCCAGCTACTGCTTCATGCTACAATAGCCTGCCTCGATTTCCAATTCTTGAGGGCAGTTGAGAGACTTACCCAGCATCCAGCTGATAAATCAGCATGGCCACATGGGTTTCTCCATTTCTCAGGGCTAATTTACAAGGGACTGATGTTCAATTTCAACCCTCTGGTGGTTGTGGATTCGCCTTCCTTGGAGGTTTTTAAGCAGAGATGGGATGGCCCTCTGTCATGGAAGTTTTGGCTGAGATTCTTGCATTGAGGGGGACTGGACTTGAAGACCCACAGTGTCCCTTCCGACTCTATGATTCTGATTTCACCTGTTGCTCCTGTCATGGGCCAGGAGTCAGCTTCACCTGCTGAGCAGCAGCCTGAATGAGCAGAAGGCAGAGTGACTCCACCTGCTACTGATCAGCCTTCTTGCTCCTGAGGAGAACCAGCTGGCTCCAGCTTTTTAAAGCAGGGTTTCCAGCCTCAGTCAGTTGCTGGAAACAACATTTGTCCTTCCTGACCAGACCTTGCTGGTTCTTGCTTCTCGTGACCTTGGACCTTCTGCTTTCTTGACTCCCAGATCATTTGACTACGTGAACCGAGATACTCCTGACTGGACTGAACCTTGCATACAGCCTCTGCCTCCAGGCAAGTACCGCCCTGAGACTTGACTGATTGGCTGGCTTCTCCTTCTACTGAGATCTGTTGTGGTTGGCAGCACACAACTACGACAGCTCCTTACGCCTCCCCACCTATTTTGGCCTAGTTTCCCCAACTACCAGATGAGGTCTGCACCATGCTAAATGGCTGCCCTTGTGAGATCTGCTGCGGCCAAAATACCAAACCTTAACCCCCACCTCCCCGATTGGACTCTTTGTGAGAAGAAAAGGGGAATGCTGTGTGAAGTGTGGAATAACACTTCCTTTGATGCAACACCTAACCTCCGTGCAAAGTAAAAAATGAATACTCAGCAAAGAGCCACAGTGGTTTAACCTTTGCACAGAATTTGTGCAAACAAATCAATACGCAGGTCCCTAGGGGGCAACCTCGGAAGCAGAGAACCAGTGAGGACTAAAGGACCCCTTACCTGGTGTCCAGCTTCTGTGAGAGTGTAGGCTGCGCTGAGGCCTGCCATGCCTGCTCCTACGATCAGCACATGTCTTGGGTGCAATGCTTTGCCCAGCCCGTTCTTGGCTATGTCTAGATAATTCTCATACTCGGCATCCTGGAAGCACCTTTTCAGCAGACTAGAATCATCTGTGTAGCAGCTTCGCAGGGCAGAAAAGAATAGCAATGCCGAAAGAACTGGAATGCAAAAGACACAAATGGATAGAATAAGTATATTTGTCTGCATGTTCCTGTTTGTCCACATTCTGCCATCCATGCTCAATCCATGTCCCTTTGGTTGGAGGCACAAATGCTCTTGGAAAGCAGTTTGTAGAAATGGCAGGAGGGAAGAGTGCTCTTATGCTTGCGCCTGGGCGGCTGCTGGGGGGAACAGGATGCTGGGCTAGATGGGCCATTGGCTTGATCCAGCAAGCTCCCCTGATGTTCTTAGCTGTTTACAAGCCTCTCCCAAGACTGGCCAAGTGTGAAGTGTACATAGCAGAAGAAACACATTCAACGGTCAAGTGGTTGAACCTTGGGTGCGTTAGCTGCAAACTGCCTACCAGTTTAGCAATGGCATGGAAGGAGGTTTCAAAACAAAATTGGAGTGGCCTCAAAATTCTGACAGGGGCAGTGCTTGAATCCTGACTGCTTTTCCCCAACTAGTTGTTTCTCCCCAGTTAAGATTCTGCTTGTAAATGACATGACATATTTAGCACTACCTATTTAGCTCACACCTGATGTTTGTAAAAACAAAAGCCAAACTGTGGTGGTGGTGATGATAATAATAATAATAATAATAATAATAATAATAATAATAATAATAATAATATCTGGGTGGCTTCCAACAGATAAAACAACATAACAAAACACAAAAGTTTAAAAATTCTCCATACAGGGCTGCCTTCAGATGTCTTCTCAAAGTTGTTTAGTTCTTTATCACCTTGACATCTGATGGTGGAGTGTTCCACAGGGCAGGTGCCACTACCAGGAAGGCCCTCTGTCTGGCTCCCTGCAGTGAGGGAACCGCCAGAAGGCCCTTGAAGCTGGACCTCAGTATCTGGGCTGAGTGATGGGGGTGGAGACACTCCTTCAGGTATACTGGGCCGAGGCCATTTAGGGCTTTAAAGGTCCGCACAGAATTGTGCTTGGACAACACTGGGAGCCAATGTAGATCCTTTAGGACCAGTGTTATATGATCCAGGTGGCTGCTCCCAGTCACCTGTGTAGCTGCTACATTTGAGATTAGTTGTAGTTTCTGAGTCGCCTTCAAACGTAGCCCCATGTAGGGTGTATTGCAGTAGTCCACGTGGAAGATAACCAGGGTGTGTACCATTCTGGTGAGACAGTGCACAGGCAGGTAGGGTCTCAGCCTGCGTACCAGATGGAGCTGGTAGACAACCGCCCTGGACACAGAATTGACCTGTGCCCCCATGGACTGCAGTGAGTCCAAAATGGCCCCCAGGCTGCGCACCTGGTCCTTCAGGGGCACAGTTACCCCATTCAGGACCAGGGAGTCCTCCACACTGCCCCCCCTGCCATCCAGAAACAGTACTTCTGTTTTGTCGGGATTCAACCTCCATCCATTAACAACCATCCATCCTCCAACTGTCCCATTTCAATAGACTTTGTGGTTGGGAGATTCCTGTCATTGTCTAAAGACATTGTTCTGGAGGGAGGGGGGGCAGAAGATGAGTTTGACCACAAACCCTGTTAGAACCTGCTTTTTAAGGAACTAAAGCTCTAACTGAAGAGTGATTGCAAAACTATCCCTTTTGCTACCCATGACTGAGCTTGATGCTATTAAGCAACAAGGTACAGTACTGCACAGTGGAAACACCAGATTGCTTCTGCTAGTGGTCCTGCACCGTTGCATCCTTACTGCCATCCTCACCCCCATCCCATGCCACCCCTGTCAGTGAGTTTATATGTGTTGGAAGCTGCCCAGAGTGGCTGGGGTATTACAGTGGTGACCCGCAAGACGAATGCCTCGCAAGACGGAAAACCCGCTAGACGAAAGGGTTTTCCGTTTTTCAATGCGCTTCGCAGGACGAATTTCCCTATGGGCTTGCTTCGCAAGATGAAAATGTCTTGCGAGTCTTGAGATTTTTTTTCGCTCCCCCCCCCTTTTCTAAGCCGCTAAGCCTTTAATAGCCTTTTAGCAGCTAAGCCGCTAAGCCTTTAATAGCCGCTAAACCGCTAATAGCGCTAATCCGCTAAGCCGCTAATACGGTTGCTTCGCAAGACGAAAAAACCGCTAGACAAAGATACTCGCGGAACGGATTAATTTCGTCTTGCGAGGCACCACTGTATTATTATTAATTACTACTACATTCAAATCAGCCAATCATTTCAGTATTTCTATGATCATGTGCGTATGTAGCCAACAGTTAACATGATCACGCATTCGTCACATGTAATGATGTTTTGGGGCCTTCAAGGAGTTGTGCAAATGTTTTGGGTGTTAACCTATTCTGTGCCTCCTGCTATAGCTGAATAAACTGTCTGGACTTTCCAACCTGGTGTGAACCTCATTAGCTACCTTTACCCCAGCCTAGCCGGAGTGCTGCTGAATCAGGTGAAAGCCACATCCAGTCCAGCATCCTATTCTCACAGCGACCAACCAGAGGTCCGTGGGAAACTGGCAAGCAGGACCTGAATGCAACAATGCTCTCTGCACTTGTGATTCCCAGGACCTGGTATTCAGAAGCATACTGCTGTTCAATAGTGGGTAGACATAGCAGACGACGCAGCGATTTCTCCAAAGCAGCTCTTTATTTGTAAGCTGGAACAGAACTGCACAGCAAAGAGCTCAGCTGGCCTGCTTTTATAGGCAGCCGGCTGTCAACATTGTAGCAACAACAACCCAGGGTTTCCCGCCTAAAGTAACTGACGTGGACCTGAGTGAAAACTATATACACAATACCCCCTGGTGGCCAGGGTGAGAACTTCAATACATAACACCTGCCTCCGACATTTCTATCATGGCTAATATCCACTGATGGCCTTATCATCCATGCATTTGTCTAATCCTCTTTTAAAGCCACCACACTGTCCTGTGGAAGTGAATTCCACAGTTTAACTACGTTCTATGCAAAGAAGTGTTTTTATTTCTCTTTCCTGAAACTTCCAATGTTCCGCTTCATTGGATTGTCCCAAGATCTGCTATTATGAGAAAGGGAATAATAATAATAAAAAATAATAAATAAAATTTTATTTATATCCCGCCCTCCCCAGCAGCTAACAACAGTAAAATAATACAGTATTCTAAAATCAATTCATTATAAATCAGTTCAAATCAAATTTATGCAACCATTGGGCTAGAGTTCTGTGAGGGTTACCAAAGGAGGGGGTCAGGCTGTGCCCTGGCCAAAGGCCTGGTGGAACAGCTCTGTCTTGCAGGCCCTGTGGAAAGATGTCAAAACTTCCTCGAGCTCTTTTAACTCTAAGCATATACAAACGGGGTGCAGGTGGCAAAAGAAATGCCTTGAGGGATTTCAGAGTGTCACTTCGTTGTGGGCAAAATCTGGAGGAAGTAGCAGTGGTGTACTGTGGGTTGCCAGAGCCCAGAGCTGCATGGAGGGGTGGGCAGTGTCATGTATTCAGTGGTCTGTGTTTGTCTGAGCAAACCGGATTAATGTCTGGACTAAGGATTCTGAGCTCCTGTGTTCTGATTCGATACCTGATATCCAATCACGTAGCATTATCAGATTTTGGGCTACTGGCATTGGCTCTTAAGCTCCGAGTTACGATTCACAGCTTCGGGGTTTAGACAGCCGATCATGTTGAGGGTGGCCCAGGCCTTCAGAAATGCGCATATGCAGTTGTTTTGCCCCCGTCTGTTGGTCTTGCTTGAACCTACATATACTTCAGGTGGGAGGTAAACAGACGGCGTACGCATGCACATTCAATTGCCTAACGGCGTCCATGTTACCCAAGAGATTGCAGCTGCAGAGTCAAGAGTTGTTCTGTTGTCTGGTGGTGAGGTCACTTCCTGGTTTGCAGGCAGAAGCCATTTTCAATGGAGCCCAGCAATGGAAGTGCACGGCTGTATGGAGGCAGCACTGGGTGTTGAAATTTTGCAACCCTAACAATTTTGCGCCCAGGGCTACTGCCCACACTACACCACTGGGAAGTAGTGCCAAGTGGGCAAGGTCTGGTAGGGCCATGAGGCCCAAACCAACAAATAATTAAACAAAATAAAATCTACACTACTGATATGCAACTAACCACACACAGTAGATCCGTTTCCCCCAATCTGGTGCTCTCCAAATGTGGCTGGCTTACAACTCCCATTATCCCTGACCATTGACTGTACTGGCCTGGGTTGAGGGGAGTTGTAGTGTAAAACATTGGGAGGGAAAAGCTGGTATGGAATGTACAGCTTGGTAGAACACCAGCACATACCCGGTGTAATCCTGACCCATGGATTTGAGTTTTTGCCCTTGTGAGCTTCGACATGGTTAGTATACCTGGTAGGGCGACCAACCTAAGGTCCATAGCAAGGCCAAGGAAAACTAAGACCCTGAGCTCAAAGGGAGTGGAGGGTGGGTGAATCGCGACGGGATGACAAAGAGTGAGGCAGAGGAGGGGCTGGCGCCGCAGCATTTAGGCTGCTGAACACACCCCCTCGGAGGCACCTGGTTGGGTGCCTGCTGATGGGCGTGGGTGCCAGCCAGGTGAGTGGGAGGCAGGGGGCTAACGCCCCCTGCTAGAGGCAGGACTCGGGTTCCTGCCCACAACCACTCCCCTCTCTTCCAGGAGGAGAGTCTTAATCCACTACTATTCTCAAATGCCTACGGAAAGTGAGTGTGACAATTTTGCCACAGACCCTAAACTTATGACAAGGCAAGCGAGGGAAGGGGAAGGGAATACGTGTCCTTAAGGAGAGGCATGTGTTGGTTCCTTGAGAGTGCTGAGTAAGTTCCTTGTTGGAGCTTGGAGAGAGGGTTTCTGTACTAATTTTAGCCAATGCATTCTAATGGAGAAGGGGCTTTGAGATGAGCAGTTCCTGTAATTCCAACAGCATAGCTGTCAACTTTCAGATTTGAAAATAAGGGATCAGCAGCCTCACCTATTCCGGGGACAGTCTACGGGATATCTAACAATCCGGGATAGCAGCAGGAAGCAGCGGGAAACAGCGCTGGAATAAGGGAATTTCCCACAAAAAAAGGAAAGGTTGACAGCTATGTCTAACAGCTCTGTTGTTGTGTTGTTCCTTTCTGGAATTCCCTGCCTATTTCCCATTTTGCTTGGTCTGCTTAAGTAAAAGTTGAAAGAATATTAGCGTAGTGAGCAAAGACAAATGATTCTCCTTGTCTGCTTCGTCTCTTAAAGTTATCTTACCATTTTGTCTGTGCAGCAGGTGTCAATTAACTTTTACTGGTAACTGGATGACATGTGCAGATCTTTATTCAATGTATTAGGACATATTTGAGATAAGATCTCGTGCCACATTAAGTTATGCCAGTCTTTTTACTAATGCAAGGACCCTCGTATTTACGGGACCGTCTCTCCTGGTATGCCCTGCAGAGGACCTTAAGGTCCATGAATAATCATAGTTTAGAGGTCCCGGTCCCTAAGGAAGTCAGATTATCCTCCACCAGGGCCAGGGCCTCTCAGTGATGGCTCCGACCTGGTGGAATGCTCTGTCCCATGAGACCAGGGCCCTGCAGGATTTAACTTCCTTCTGCAGGGCCTGTAAGACAGAGCTATTCCGCCTGGCTTTCAATTTGAACTTAGCCTGATCTTTTATTCCCCTTCCTTCCCTCCCCCTCCCCTTTTTATGAAGATTACCCGCTCTGGGATCCCACAGCTAATTCTCCCCTGGTCTCCTCGCTGGCCCAAATGGGACTAATTTAGCCAGCTAGCCCTGGTGATCATCTAATGTTTATTGGATGGATTTCCCCCCTAAATTGATTTTTGAATTCTGAATTTCTGAACCGGGAAGGGCGGGGTATAAATAAAACTTTACTATTATTATTCTTACAGTAGTACAGTAGTAAACCATAGCAAAAGTTCAGATTGACACACACCTATTCACATTGTAGACATGCAATATTAGTTGGGTGCAAGGCTTTTCTGCATCGGTTCCACGGAAAGAGTGGGAGTTTGCAAAAGAGCAAAATCCCACAGGTAACACTTAAGAGTCAAAATAGAGCTTTCCACAACCAGTTCAAGCTCCCCCTCCCTGTCCTCCCAACACCTTTTGCTTTCTGAAATTCAACTTGGCAGAATATTATTTTAAATCTTGCACTGGAAATACTTTTGAGGTTTTGTTTTAAAAGAGATACCACAATTTTTGAAGATCAATGGTACAGGATTATATAACCCAGCTTTAATTTGAGATACCTTCAAAACAGTAATTAGAGGAACATTAATCAGTGAGAAGAGTAGAATCAAAAAAAGGAAATAAAATATTCATCTCCAATTAGAAAAAGAAATAAAATAATTAGAATAAAACATAACATGTAGTAACAGAGTTTATCGCAAATTAATTTGAAAAAGGAAAGAAATAGACATGTTAGAAATACCAAAAATAATAACATCCCTTCAATATTTAAATCAACAATACTATGAATTTAATAATAAAAACACAACAATCTTGGCAAACCAACTAAAGAAACGTAAATTAAACAGAACAACCCACTCAATAAAAACAGGCAAAGGCGAAATAACACATGATAAACTTAAAATTAACCAAGCCTTTCATGCATTCTATAAGACCTTATACCATTGCTAAATGCCATTCAGGAATTTCTGGCCACAGTTAACATTCCAAAATTAACAGAAGAGCATGCAGCTTACTTAAATCATCCCTTCTCACTTGAGGAAATATTAGCTAGTATAAAAAAGACAAAACCATTTAAGGCACCTGGACCAGATGGGTTTACTGGCTATTTTTATAAAACCTTTTCTGAACTTGTGGCCCCATTCTTGCTGAAATTATTTACAGATATAAAGGATCATGGCCTGGTACCTGGAGCTTGGAAAAACACACACATCGTAGTGCTACCAAAACCAAATAAAGACTTGGAGTCGGTTGAGTCCTATTGGCCTACTTCATTAATAAATGTTGATTTAAAATTACTTACAAACATTATTACACACAGGTTAGCGACGATTCTACCGAATTATATACATTCGGATCAGACAGGTTTTATTAGGCAAAGGTCAATAACTACCCCAATTAGGAGGATACTCAATGCAATATACTGGGGATCAAACCAACCGACACCAACAGCCACCCTTACATTGGATGCAATGAAGGCATTTGACTGTCTTGAATGGAATTTTCTTTTTGAAACCTTGTGAGGTTTTGGCATGGGAACCCCATTCATTGCACTACTGACTACCTTATTATCAGGATTGCACCGCAAATAATTTGATAAATGGTATACACTCAGAGCCTATATCGATGGGCCATGGCGTGAAGCAGGGCTGCCCTTTGTCACCCCTGCTTTTTGCCCTGGCCATGGAACCCTTGGCTCTTAGCACTTAGGGGAGACCCTGAGGTGTCTGGAATACAAATTAACGGGCAGAGTTATATGGTGAACATGTTCGCAGATGACGTAGCCTTGATGCTGTTTCGCCCTGGAACAGGTTTCCCAGCAGTAATGAAAATTCTTGATGCTTACGGAAAGGTCTCTCGTTTTGTGTTAACTATAGCAAATCAGACCTGCTATGCATTCATATGCCACCTGAAGTAGAACTACAACTTCAGCACTCCACTGGAATAATAATAATAATAATAATAATAATAATAATAATAATTTATTATTTATACCCCGCCCATCTGGCTGGGTTTCCCCAGCCACTCTGGGCGGCTTCCAACTGAATATTAAAAACAGTACAGCATCAGACATTAAAAACTTCCCTAAAGAGGGCTGCCTTCAGTTGTCTTTTAAAAGTAAAATAGTTGTTTATTGCCTTGACATCTGCTGGGAGGGCGTTCCACAGGGCAGGAACTACCGAGAAGGCCCTCTGCCTGGTTCCCTGTAACCTTACTACTTGCAATGAGGGAACCGCCAGAAGGCCCTCGGCGCTGAATCTCAGTGTCCGGGCTGAACGATGGGGGTGGAGACGCTCCTTCAGGTATACAGGACCGAGGCCGAATAAAACTTTGTCAGAAATATTTTAAATATTTAGGAGTTATTACCCCAGGAACCTCCAAACTTTGGAGAAGCTTAATTTTGGTCCAATCATCCAAGAGATTAGACAAAAATTGAAAACTTGGAACAAGGGTTCGCTGTCATGGTTGGGCCGATTTGCCACTATAAAAATGATGGTGCTGCCCTGCCTCCTCTATCTCTTTAGGGTCTTACCAATTGCCATAGAAGACAAAAAAAATCACAAAATTGGCAAAACATGCTTCTAAAATTTATACACCAGAATAAAAGGCCAAGGTTACCATATAAAGCATTATATCAACCAGCCAAAGGAGGTGGAGTGGCAGTACCTAATGTCATGTGGTACTATTCAGGAGCCCATCTATGTAGCATTTTTCTGGTAGTTCAATGATATCAAGAAATAGCTTGGCTAAATATGGAAAACCCAAATGAACAGAATTCAATAAGAGGGGTCCTATTTGGGCAAATTAATAAAAAAAAATATTGAGATAGAAAACCCCTTTTTATTATCCACCGTATTTTTCGCTCTATAGGACACACCGGACGATAAGACGCACCTAGTTTGGGGGGGAGGAAACAAGAAAAAAAAAATTCTGAACCCCAGAAGCCAGAACAGCAAGAGGGATCTGGCTTCTGGGATAGCCTCTTGCTGTTCTGGCTTTGGGGACAGCCTTTGAAGCCTCTGCAGGGCAGCAAGATGAAGGCTCCCCGCTGCCCTGTGGAGGCTTTGCGCAGCCACCCCCAAGCTAGAACAGTGAGACGGAGTGCTGCACAGCGCTCCGTCTCCCTGTTCTGGCTTTGGGCTTATCCGCGCAGCCTGCATTCGCTCCATAAGACGCACACACATTTCCCCTTACTTTTTAGAAGGGAAAAAGTGTGTCCTATAGAGCGAAAAATACAGTAATTTAAAAGTTTGGAAGAAATGGTTCCCACAGATGGTCTCTCAGCCTTCTCCTGTAATACCATTGGCATTTCACCCTACTTTCTATAATAGAGACAGAACATTCCCCTTTGAAAAATGGGAATATGTGGGCCTGTTTTGGCTTAAAGACTTTTACAAAGAAAACACCCCTTTGTCTGGATTAATACTACAAGAAATGGTTCAAAACTTTCCCCACAATTGGATGGTAATCCATCAAGTCATCCATTTTATAAGTAGCACAGAAATCTGCAAACAAGGGACGAAGTCACTAACTGCATTTGAAAATATTTTATACACCACATACCCTAGAGGTAAAGGTCTAATTGCTTTAATTTATAAAGCGATTGTAAATTTCTCAACCCCAAAGCCCTGTATGTTGAAGACTAGATGGGAAAGAGACTTGGGAGAAGGGATTGATGATGGTTTGTGGGAAGGAATGTGGCAAAAAGCCCCCTTTCGAGCTATTTCTGCCCGAATAAAAGAAAACACCTTAAAGCTAACCCACAGAAAGTACTTGCACCCCACATTGCTAAGCAAAATAGACAAAAATATTTCTCCACAATGTTGGAGAAATTGTGGGAATGAAGGAACATTTATACACATGTGGTGGAAATGCCCATTGATTAAAAACTTCTGGTTAAAAATATTTCAGGAAATGGAACAAATTACATCTCAATCAATCAATTTAGATCCCAAAATAGCATTGCTTTCTATATTTGCAGATGAAGCACAAAATCTTAGAGACAAAGACTTAATTGTGCATCTTATAACTGCAGCACGTCTTGCTGTTGCTAGACACTGGAGGACATTAAACGTGAACCGATATGAAGTTTGGTATGCTTATGTCTGGGAATTAATTTTGATGGAAAAGTTAACAGAAAGGATATGTTAAAGAAAACAACATGAGAAACTACATAACTTTTCCATAACGTGGTCCTCCTTTATTACATATGCATCAAAGAAAGAACATGCATTTAAACCACCTGAGACACATGGGAGCATGTGGAATGCTATTTTTTAAACAGCAACTGAGAAATAATTTTTTATTTGATTATATTACTAATGTAATTACCTGGACATAGTTGGGGCTGGTTTTTTTGAGGGGGGGGGCAGGGGAAAATTGTATTTGATTGCTTGTATTTGATTATGTTGTTTTCATATTTGATTATATGTTGTTTTTATATTCAACTAATAAAATATTTAAAAAAAAATGCAGAGAGGTTTTGTTTTTTTAGACTGTTTGCTTATGGGCTGGGCTTTTGTACAGTACCCAGTCTCCTTTATGTACTTTTACAAATTAGAACAATAATAATAAATTTAAAGCATTTTTGTTTAATAGCAACTTGCAAAAGATTTTTACATCTCCCCTTCTCTAAATTCAGTAACATCAACAACTAGGTATGCTGGTGAACAAATACTGAATTAGTCAAATCCACCAAATAGTTGATCAGTCATCTGTTAGATAAAAATGTCTTTTTATCTAACATATGTTTCTCTTGTTGGAAATGTATAATATCAAACAGTATTTTCTCTCTGTCGCTTGTTATTCTGTGCTCTCTGCTCCTCTAGTAATAATAATAATAAAACCTCCCACATATTTTCTAAATAGCATCAAATTCTGAAAGTTGAGTGTAGTGAAATTGACATCAGAAATGTCATTAATAAGATTAAAATCAGACAATTATCTCAGCGATGTAATCTTACCCAGGATTATACTTACAGAAGATGCTCATATCTTTTGCCTTCGGAACTTGGAGGGCAAAACTTGTTGGGGCCATTTCTTTTGCTAAGTGAGGTGCTCCAAATACTTTTTCAAATAAACACTCATACCCGAACAGAAAGTGAGTGAAGAATGATTTAAGCATTTGGCAGGCTCCTCCCCTACTTTCTCTTCCTCCTCCCACTCTAATTATGCATCAAGCAATTATCAAAGAACTGGAATTCTCTCAATATCCGGTTCTTTGGTTTGCATTTATGTCTCTAGGAAGCCCCACAAGCAAAGCATGAAGGTAACAGCCCCTGTCTCCCCAATGATGACGGATGCCATAGGGGTTGGTAGGGAGAAAACTGGGAGGCCAACAGTAGGGGGAGCCAGAAGCAATGATACACAAAATCAACTCGTTCTCCTTTTGTCGTCGTCCTCTGCCCTGGTGGGTCCAACATGGGCAACATGGAGACTAAGGGCTTATCCATACCTACCTTTCAGATTAAATGGGTTTTCTGCAGATTGCTGTTTGCTCCAACTGAGCTTTAAAGAGTGGGCTTTCGTGGAGAAAGCGCCGGAGCAAGACAAAGAAAACTTGGACAGGGAGCTTTGAAGTGCAAACCAAATACAACCACAAAACCTAACTATCTTCTTCTTCGGCGTTCACTCGTAGCCGAGTAAGATTGTCTTCCATAAACACCTTCTTAACCGTGAGTCCGTAAGTGGCTCTGGAGGCCAGTTCTGGATCCACATGTCCTTCCACAGTGGGGACATAGGTTTCCAGGTGGAGTTGATCACGGTGAGGGTTTGCCAAACGTGCCTTCCTCTTAGCACGTTTCTCCCTTGTGTCCTGAGTCTGAGCATCTTCAAAGTCCATGACACCTTTGGTAAAGGCTGTCCTCCAACTGGAGCTCTTGCAAGCCAGTGTTTCCCAGTTGTCAGTGTTTATACTACTTTTTTTTAGATTTCCCTTGAGAGAGTCTTTAAATCTCTTTTGCTGACCACCAGCATTATGCCTTCCAATTTTAAGTTCGGAATAGAGTAGTTGCTTTGGAAGATGATAATCAGGCATCTGCACAACATGACCAGTCGAGTGAAGTTGATGTTGAAGAATCATTGCTTTGACACTGGTGATCTTTGCTTCTTCCAGTACACTGCCATTAGTTCCCATCTTCCCAAGTGATGTGTAAAAATTTTGGGAGACACCATTGATGGAATCTTTCGAGGAGTTGGAGATGGCATTTATAAGTGGTGTGTGTTTCAGAAGTATACAGTAAAGTTGGTAGTACAATAGCTTTGTTAACAAGCATTTTGGTTTCCCTGCAAATGTCCCAGTCCTCAAACACTCTGTACTTCAACTGGGAGAAAGCTGCACTCGCAGAGCTCAGGCGATGCTGGATTTCGGCATCAAATGTTGGCCCTTGTGGAAAGATAACTGCCCAGGTAGGAGAAGTGATCAACACTTTAACCCATTTTAAGCACACAAGGCCAAAATTATTCTGTTTTTACTTGAATCCCTCTCATCCCACTGACAGTCTGGAGGTGTCCAGGGTGACCAGAGACCCCCGGAATAATTTCTGAAGGGTGGAGTTGCTTTTGAGCAGAGCTACAGCCATCACTCTCACATATGTTATACACACTGAGATTCCTCACACTCACCTCCTCTCTTTATGCCTTAAAAAAGAGAGAGAAAGAAATAGGCATATTCAGGAGCTGAACTTGAGTCACAGCTACGTCTACTAGATGGGATGGACAAAAGGTAAATCAGGATCTCATAACAGATCTCTGGGTAATTTTAGTAGATTGGCAAGGATTATAACAACAACAACAACGTGGTTCTCCCGGAGTCCTGGCTCCCACTATACTGCTGACATAAAGAAAGGAGGGTGTGTGTGTGGATTTTACATAGAAGGATTGGGACCTTGCTTCAATTCTGGCACTCAGAACAAATACCTGGGCTCAAAAATATTCAACTATAAGCTTCTTTCTTGCGCACCTGGCTCCAGCTGGTTGATCACTGATAAGTAATAAAAAGAGCAACAGATCCCGCAAGCTTGGAGAATCTTAGAACTGCTGCCATCCCCTGTTGGTGGATGGCGGTGAGGAAAGAAAATTGTGAAGGGAGGTATCTTTTACATGTGGTGGACTTTTAAAGAGGTAAAGGCTTTCTGGAAAATGGTATATAATGAGTTAAAGAAAATGTTTAAAAATACTTTTGTTAAAAAACCAGAAGCCTTTCTATTGGGGATAGTTGGTGAAGAGACACCAACGGGAGATAAAGTACTGTTTATGTATGCAACAACTGCGGCAAGAATTCTTTTAGCCCAAAAATGGAAACAAGAAGTACCAATGAAAGAAGAGTGGCAGATGAAGATGATGGACTTTGCAGAACTGGCGAAGCTGACAGGAAAAATCTGAAATCAGCATGATCAAGTATTCCAACAGGACTGGAGTAAATTTATATGATATCTGAAAGTTTATTGTAAGCAATTAACCTCACTAGCAAGGTTGTGTGAAGACTTGTAATGAGAAATATCCTACCTTTCTATATTTATTTAAATTTTGAGCCATTTTGTTGAAATATACTCGGAGTTGAGTGTGGATTTCATGCTCTTTATTCAGCTCATAGTGCGAGGAATGGAAACTCAGTACATAACATTGTAATGAGTGTAATTGGAAAAAGTACAAAATGCAATGATATAAAGGTGAATTTAGCCACTCGTTTTATAATGGATAGCCACTCGTTTTATAATGGAGACTTTTCTGCAAGCTCAGAAAGGTACAAGAAAACTCATTTCCTAACATCGGTCGTCTGTCTGTCTGTCTGTCTGTCTGTGCCTCTTTTTGCAAAGCAAGGCAGTTCTCTGCTGCAGGCACCCAGGAAGAAGCTTGCATGGCTTTTCCCCAGGGACCTCTGTCCGCGATCGGACACTCTTCCACGGGCGAAAGAAATCGCAGCCGATCGGCCGGCAGCCCCATTCCTCGCGCCCTTTGCCCCTAACCCGCCTCGCCAAAGCGCGAGCCAGCAGGGGACACGAGGACGGAAATGACTCGCAGGCAGGCGCGTGTGAACTCGGAAGTAAGTTCAGAGTCTGCTCAGTGGGATCGCTGTTAAGATCCTGTGCGGAAAAGGACAGGGATAAATGTTTCAGGCTTCACAGAGGATTTTCCACCATTACGGAGAGAGAGAGGGATGAGGGGGAACAAAAAAAATATATTCTTTTTTTAAGAAAAGGGATGTGTTAGAAGTGGGAGACCTATTGGAGACCAGAACACCCAAGCAATGGGAAGGAATCAACCTTGAGTCTGGCACCTTAGACCACTCGGCCATCCTGACAGTGACACTTATGCTCTCCCTAGCTGAATCCTAATTAGCAGTATGCTAATTTACGGGTCTACGTACCTCCATCCGCATTTCCTTTGTGTTTTATGCCGATCTTTTGCCAGAGGCAAAAAATTAAGGTTCAGTTAGAAAAGTGGAAATTTGCCTCCCACGAATGCTTGGACAAAGTTTTACTTTATTTTTCTGTGATTTCCCCTTTTGATATTTCTGCCCATTCCTCTCCATATCACCTGGTGGTGAGGTGTAGCTAATGTGGCAGAAGATAGAATTCAAGATGACCTTAACAGGCTAGAGAACTGGACCAAAAATAACAAAATGAATTTCACCAGCGACAAATGTATGGTTCTGCACTTAGGCAGGAATAATCAGATGCACAAATATAGGATGGGGACATCTGAAAAGGATCTATGGGTCTCCGCTTAACACAAGTAAACAGTGTGGTACAGGAGCAAAAAATGCTATTGTAATTCTAGGTTCCATCACCGTAAGTATAATGCCCACTTTCAGCTTTTTAATATCTGTTTGAAAAGCCTGGTGTGTACTATGGTTGATACAAAAACATAGAGAAACTTCAAAGGAGGTCTAAGACCTCACACTAAATTCCTTTGCCAGCATTGTTTTTAAAGCACACAGGATTAATTCAGCAAGCAATTTGTACAGAAGCAAGATGGCGTTAGTTATGCCATATACAAACAGAATAAAGAAACGTTTCTGAGACCCCACACTATTAGACAGCATAAGGAAATCTTTGGGGTAATTCATAACTCACTTGACTACAAATTGGTAATGTTTGCAGATGATATTCTTCTGTTTATCACAAAACCTCACAGTACTGTTCCAATGTTAATGCAATATACAGATGTTTTTGGCAGTATCTCTGTATATACTATAAAGGTAAAGGTAAAGGGACCCCTGACCTTTAGGTCCAGTCGTGGCCGACTCTGGGGTTGCGGTGCTCATCTCGCTTTATTGGCCGAGGGAGCCGGCGTACAGCTTCCGGGTCATGTGGCCAGCATGACTAAGCCGCTTCTGGCGAACCAGAGCAGCGTACGGAAATGCCGTTTACCTTCCCGCTGGAGTGGTACCTATTTATCCTCTTGCACTTTGAAATCCTTTCAAACTGCTAGGTGGGCAGGAGCAGGGACCGAGCAACGGGAGCTCACCCCGTCACGGGGGTTCGAACCACTGACCTTCTGATCGGCAAGTCCTAGGCTCTGTGGTTTAGACCACAGCGCCACCCGCGTCCCTTATCACTCCTAATTACTTTTACTCAAATAAGGCGGGGTGTTTTCACACATTTACTCAAGCGATAAAGCCACCCTCTAACTACCCTTTAGGCATGCATGAGATATGCCCTGCCCAAGCTTACTGAAGTGTCCCGATAAACCATAGCCTAACAGCAATCCGCCCTGTTTTCGGGCATTCTTACCACAAGCCAGTAAAGATAAGCCTCTAAGTGAGTCTGTGTTTTCTGATTGGCAAGTCCTGGGCTCTGTGGTTTAACCCACAGTGCCACCTGTGCTCGTCCAAATTGGAGTTGATGTTAATAGGAAATAACTTGTTGGTTTAACCATTTAAACAATACCAATTTCATATTTGCATAAAGGTAAAGGGACCCCTGACTGTTAAGTTCAGTCACGGACGACTCTGGGGTTGATCTCAATTTCGACCACACAGTGGGAAACTGTTTTAAGTACTATAACAAGGGCATCTCTGGACTTTAAATTGAGGCTCATACAACAAAAAATAATATTTAGAATATACTGGACCCCATTATGTTTGTTTAAAAAAGGGCTGTCTAAGGTATCTAACTGTTGAAGATACAATAGGGATAATGCTTCTCTAAAACACATGTTTTTTCATTGTCCTATATTGAAAGATTTTTGGCAGAAGGTAACTGAAACTATCAACAGAACTGTACAAAACAACCTTACATTTACAGAGCAAAATATCCTTTTGAATTATATGCCCAGCACATGGAACCTTCCCAAAGGACAATATGAGTGGACTCTCCGTGCCCTTACTATGGCACAAAGACTGATACTGATAATTTGGAAAAATAAAAATGTGGCTCCCTTCTTCGATTGGATTGAAGACTTATACAAACTCGAAACATATGAGCAACTTGCATATAAACACAGACTTGCCATGGACAAATTCCATGATATTTGGAATCCATTCTTACAAATACTTTAATAGGTTAAGATCTGGTGAAGTACAATAACAACTTTGTAAAGTACAGTGGTACCTCGAGTTACACATGCTTCAGGTTACATACGCTTCATGTTACAGACTCCGCTAACCCAGAAATATTGCTTCAGGTTAAGAACTTTGCTTCAGGATGAGAACAGAAATCGTCCTCCGGCAGTGCGGTAGCAGCAGGAGGCCCCATTAGCTAAAGTGGTGCTTCAGGTTAAGAACAGTTTCAGGTTAAGGACGGATCTCCGGAACGAATTAAGTTCTTATCCTGAGGTACCACTGTATATTGGTTCAACGAAATCTGACTTGGGTAATATCTCCTTGAAATGGCATTCTTATTCCAGACTTTTGCCAGCACAAGGCATCCTCTCTGCATGGCCTCCCAAATCTATTCCAGAAGGTCGGGTAGGGAACCCAGAACAGAACACAATGAGGGGAGAGGAAGAAGAAATCCTGTTGCACAGGTGGAACTCCTTGCACAATCAGGATGATAATGATAATAATAATAATAATAATAATAATAATAATAATAATAATAATAATAAATAATTTATTTGTACTCCGCCCATCTGGCTGGGTTTCCCCAGCCACTTTGGGCAGCTTCCACAAAGACCAAAAATACACTAATACGTCATACATTAAAAACTTCCCTGAACAGGGCTGCCTTCAGATGTCTTCTGAATGTCAGGTAGTTGTTTATTTCTTTGACATCTGATGGGAGGGCGTTCCACAGGGCGGGCGCCACTACCAAGAAGGCCCTCTGCCTGGTTCCCTGTAGCTTTGCTTCTCGCAATGAGGGAACCGCCAGAAGGCCCTCGGCGCTGGACCTCAGCGTCCGGGCAGAACGATGGGGGTGGAGACGCTCTTTCAGATACAACCTCATTGGCTACAATCCTCTGAAATCAATGGCCCTTAAGTGGGCCTTCTTTGAGTATATACATTTTCTATAAAGGTGACCGCAATTAGCAAAGATATTTCCTACATAAATTTCATTCAGTTATGTTTAAAAAATAATAATTCAGTTGGGGTTTTATTGTGTGTGTGTGTGTGGAGAAGCTGTCCATTTGTTGATGCTCGGTGAATTAGCCATTCGATAAAAGAAAAGAATGTGTAGAAACGTCTAGCATTTTGTGGCTTTGTTTCTCTTCCAATTGTCTCCTTGCATTTTCAGATCTCAGGAGGTCAGACGAAAAGAGAAATGGGACATGGAAATGGAACATCACAGACAGAGTTTGTTCTCCTGGGCATTCTAAGCCAAACAAAGCTATCAACTATTTCTTTTGCTGTCTTCCTATCGATGTCCATGGCTGCTTTGCTCGGAAATAGTCTCCTCCTGGCTGTGATCCAGGTGGACTCAAGTCTTCAGACTCCAATGTATTTTTTCCTCAGTCAGTTGTCCTTCATGGATATGTGCCAAGTCCTCGTCATTGTTCCCAGAACAGCAATGGCTTTTGTAACAGAGTCCAAAACAATTTCTCTTGTTGGATGTGTGGCCCAGATTTTCCTTTGTTCTGAACATAGGAGGAGCAGAGTGCCTCCTGTTGGCTGTCATGTCATATGACAGGTATGTGGCCATTTGCCGCCCTCTGCAATATGCAGTTCTCATGAGAAGAAAATTATGCTTGGTCATGTCAGCCAGTGTGTGGATTTCATCTTTCCATTATGCATTGATGAAAGCGATTTATTTACTAACTCTTTCATATTGTGGATCAAACGTGATAAACCATTTTTTCTGTGAGTTCCACGTCCTGATAAAGTTGTCCTGTTCAGATACATCCATCTTTGAAACAGTGTCGTTATTAATTAGTAGCCATTTATTGCTTCTGTTCCCCTTCGCCATCATTTCCCAAAGGTCAAAAGTCACCAAGAATACTTTACTCGATATTTTAAACTTTGAAGTGCCTGAGGAATGCAAATATTGCTCTTTAGTTCTTCCTCAGGTGATTTTCACCATGCTGCCAGGAGAACTAAAACTGGTGCATTCTGAAGAACTCCACAGCCCTAGCCCCTGAGACAGAGGCTGAAATCATCATGGGTGAAAACAAAACAAACCAAACTAAGATGACACAACTTAGGGCTTCCAGGACTGAGATGCTGCTATTTTGAAGAGCATCCTCATTTCAGTAAACCAGGATACCTGATGTAACAAGGTATTTCTATTAATTGGTATAGCTTTTTCATAGATTTTATTTACAGCTGTTGTTGCCTCCTCAATCCAAAATGTCCTCCAAAGTCTTTTCTATATGGTAAGGTAAAAGGTAAAGGACCCTTGGACAGTTAAGTCCAGTCAAAGGTGACTATGGAGTTGCGGCGCTCATCTCGCTTTCAGGCCGAGGGAGCCAGCGTTTGTCCTCAGACAGCTTTCCAGATCATGTGGCCAGCATGACTAAACTGCTTCTGGCGCAACAGAATACCATGACGAGTGCCAGAGAGCATGGAAATGCTGTTTACCTTCCTGCCACAGAGGTACCTATTTATCTACTTGCATTGGTGTGCTTTTGAACTGCTAGGTTGGCAGAAGCTGGGATAAAGTGATGGTGCTGTGGTCTAAACCGCTGAGCCTCTTGGGCTTGCTGATCAGAAGGTCGGCGATTCAAATCCATGTGATGGGATGAAGTGCTGTCTCTTCTATATATCCAGAAATGTGCTCGTGAAGGTAAGTGGTTTTGTTTTTGCTTTGGTGAGGCTTTTATTGAGCGATGGCTCTTGATAGTACAGATTTTATAAGCATTTCCCAACACTAGAAAAAAAATGGCTGCCTAGGTCCTGGGGTGGCAGTGAATGAGAAATAAAGTAGAATCAACACCATGCCTAATAGCAGGCAGATCCAAAATAAGTGATGCTCAACAAGATTCAGCCTTGAAGCGTGAGATCTAGCCACAGACTGGAAAAACCCACAGCCATTCTCCAATGGACCAGATGGGTACTTCATGTTTATATCTATACCACTCTTTGGCCAAGGCCCCCAAGGCAGTGAACAGACAAATACAAAACAGGGGGAAATGCTAAACCAAAGTGCAATACAATCAGTCAATAAGAACCTTCTTCTTTAGCGATCTCTTGTAGCCGAGTAAGATTGTCTTCCATAAACACAGTTTTAACAATGAGTCTGTAAGTGACTGTGGAGGCCAATTCTGGATCCACACGTCCTTCCACAGTGGGGACATTGGTTTCCGGGCAGGAGTTGATCATGAGGGTTTTCCAAGAGTGCCTCCCTCTTAGCATGTTTCTCCCTTTTGTCCTGAGTTTGAGTGTCTTCAAAGCCCATGACACCTTTGGTAAAGGCTGCTCTCCAATTGGAGTGCTTGCAGGCCAGTGTTTCCCAGTTGTCGGTGTTTATACTAATTTTTTTTAGATTTGCCTTGAGACAGTCTTTAAACCTCGCAGTTATAAGAATACAAAACAGCAACAGCAAAGGCGCACCACAAACAACACATTACACATTCATGACTTGAATATGTGCTTCCACCACAAACACAAGGGTGTCCAGAAACAACTGGTTTCCAGGGTGAGGCTGGCTGGGTTCACCTTCTGGCACCTCAACAGGTAGCAGTTTTCTAGTCCCAGGCACAACAGCAGGTGCAGTAAAGAGGGGCTGGGGTGGCTGAAGTAGGAATCTACCTCCAAGCCAGAAAATGGTCCTATTACTGCTACTTGCCACATGTTGGGTGGCTTTGAGCATGGTCATTTCCCACTTCTCATCCCACCCCATGTAGCATGTTGCACACAGTGAGCAGTTCATCTGAACCACCCACCATGTGCACAACCTGTGAAATCCCACATCATATGTGGAGAAAACTTGTGCTCATGGCAAATAAGGGAGGATAGTTCAGTCACCAGGTGCACTGGGCAGTTCAGCTTAAGGCAGAAAAAGTCAACACTAGTCAAAACAAGTGCAGCCCAGGCTATTCTGCTTTCCAACTTTGGAAAGGTCCTTGCAGACATGCTTCCTGACATCTTGCCACACTAAAAATGTGCCACAGCAGAACTGGAGACCTTTGACCTGCCTAAATTGCACCTGCTCAATAAGCTACAACAGCCGGTCCACCATGCAGAGTGGTTGTGTTAGTTGATCTGCAGAGATTATTTCTTCACATCCTTGGGTGAGCATGGATTAGTTTTCTGGACTGTGCCAAGGAAAGTGCTTTTGCATGGGTTTGGGAGGAGGTGGGATGGCTGGCCCATGAAAGAACTGGAATGAAGGGCACTCTTAATGGGATGGTGAGATTCCAGGTATTCTTTCCCCTTGAATCATAGGGTATGAATAGAACCACAGAACTGTAGAGTTGGAAGGGGACCATGAGGACTGAAGAAGTAGCTAGAGCTAGAGAAAGAGAGCAGTACAAGCAGAATTCAAGACACACAAAATACACACTTTAAAGGAAACACTGAAGACACTCACAGATACTTAAAGCATATTTAGGATGCTTTTCCTAAATGAAGACATCATTTCCTCCCACCATGTAGGAAAAATATAATATTTTATTTATTTAAAAACTACATTTTGAATGTCTCCCAGGGAACTATTGTTACTGGAAGTTAAGAAGGTGGAACTGAGGAGGTCACATGGGTGTGGTCAAAGGCGTGGTCACAAAAACACTGCTGTTGTATAAGCACTTAGTGCCTAACTAAACCGAAAAGTGTCTAACCTTGGCTTAGAAGCAGTCCCTCCTGTCACAGTTTGTCGTGTGACAGGTAATGTCACAATAGCCACACATTACTCAGAAGTAAGGTAAAGGTGAAGGGACCCCTGACCATTAGGTCCAGTCGTGGCCGATCCTGGGGTTGCGGTGCTCTTCTTGCTTTATTGGCCAGGGGAGCCGGCGTACAGCTTCCGGGTCATGTGGCCAGCATGACTAAGCCGCTTCTGGCGAACCAGAGCAGCGCACAGAAACGCCATTTACCTTCCCGCCGGAGCGGTACCTATTTATCTACTTTTACTTTGATGTGCTTTCGAACTGCTAGGTGGGCAGGAGCAGGGACCAAGCAACGGGAGCTCACTCCGTCGTGGGGATTTGAACCACCGACTTTCTGATCAGCAAGCCCTAGGCTCTGTGGTTTAACCCACAGCGCCATGTCTAACCTTGGCTTAGAAGCAGTCCCTCCTGTCACAGTTTGTAGTGTGACAGGTAATGTCTAATAGCCACACATTACTCAGAAGTAAGCCCCACTAAATTCCTTGGGGATGGTCCCCAGATGGGAGTGGAGCCTAAAAGGTACCACACAGAACTTGTACGCACAATAGCTTCATGCATATGTTGTGTGGAGGCTGGTTCATGAGGGCTGCTCTGCCAACCTCAGTCAGTCCTCAGTCAGATCCAACCTGCCAGTTTTGCTACTTCTTCCAGGCCAGTGGCAACATCCTGCTCTTTAGGCTCTGTGTTGTCCTTGTGAAATTCACCAGAGAGGAGGGAGATGGGGACAGAATGAGAACGAGTTGGCTCTGCCTATCATTGTCTCTGGTTCTGCTACCCTCCGTCTCCCTACTTTCCACTCTACCAATCCCGCCACTGGCTTTGAGTCCAGACCAGAGCTTCTTGGCCATATGCCTCAGAGCTGCACCCATAGGAGGACTCTGGGTCAATAGACACTGCCTGAATCACATCTCCTGTCTTGGTACCTGTGGAATTCCAACAGCACCAATGCTCTTTTGTTGTTGTTACAGAACATTAATAGTCAAATTAACATTGTATGGACTTCCTCAAGCTTTCCTTTTAATATCCATGTACCTAAAGCATTGGCCAAATCTTGAAGGTTTTCTGTTTTGTTTGTTGGATGCAGCTATTTCCTTCTTCACAAACGTTGCCCTTCTGTCTTCAGGTCAAAGGGATCATGGGAAATGAGAATGCCACATCATGGACAGAGTTTCTTCTTGTGGGCCTCGTGCATCTGAGGACACCCAACGTCTTCTTTGGTGCAATTCTTCTCATGGTTTTTGTTGCTTTGCTGGGAAATGGTCTCCTCCTGATCCTAATCCAAAGAGACTCCTCCCTTCACGCCCCAATGTATTTTTTCCTCAGCCAACTGGCCTGCATAGATCTGGGCCAAATCCTCGTTATTGTCCCTAAAATGTCTGCGAACTTTTTAGCCCACAGAAACACCATCTCGCTCGGCGGTTGTGTGGCACAGATTTTCCTCACGTTGACCGGGGGAGGTGCAGAATGCCTGGTCCTGGCCGCCATGTCTTACGACAGGTACGTGGCCATCTGCAGGCCCTTGCAGTACCCCATCCTCATGCGGAGAACAACCTGCCTCATGTTGACGGCTGGGATCTGGTCTTTGTCAACGCTTTCCATCATGCCCATTGCGATCTTTGTCCAGTCTCTGCCTTACTGTGGGTCAAATGTGATTGAGCATTATGTTTGTGATTTCCCAGCTTTACTGAAGTTGTCCTGTGCCGACACCTCTGCCTTTGAAAAACTGGTGTATTTTGATGACGTGGTCATACTTCTCCTCCCTATCTCAGTCATCGCTGCCTCTTACATCACCATCCTTGTGCAAGTGCTGGGCATGCGCTCAGTCAAAGGAAGACACAAGGCCTTAGGTACTTGCATGTCCCACCTGTGTGTGGTGGGACTCTTCTATGGGGCAGCTGCACTGACATACGCCGTCCCAGTATCCTCCTATTCTGCACAAAGGGCCATGATCTACTCAATGTGCACTACCATCATCCCCCCAATGCTGAATCCTTTTATATACAGCCTGCGCAACAGGGATGTTCTAGCAGCCCTAAGGAAACTCTTTCTGAATCATGCCCCTCATAAGTAATTTCTAGAGCCGAAACGCCATTTCGCATAAGTTTGTAATGTTCCTGGGTCAAACAGCAGCCACTGAGAATGAGGAACAGTTTAATAAAAAGAGCTGTATTCAGAGCTGCCTCTTAGACCCTCTGTCTTCTGGGACGTGAGGCTGGTTTAGTAAACAAGTTTCCATGCACTGGCAGTAAAGGTAAAGAAGAAGAAAAGGTTCCAAATTATTTAAAAGGAAAAGAATTTGGTTTCATTACAAAAAAGGATCATGCAGTCTTTGTGTACATTGGCTCCCAGTACGTTTCCGAGCACAATTCAAAGTGTTGGCGCTGACCTTTAAAGCCCTAAATGGCCTTGGTCCAGTATATCTGAAGGAGCGTCTCCACCCCTATTGTTCAGCCCAGACACAGAGGTCCTGCACTGAGGGCCTTCTGGCGGTTCCCTCACATGTCAAAGAGACAAACAACTACCTGACATTTAGAAGACATCTGTAGGCAGCCCTGTTCAGGGAAGTTTTTAATGTGTGACACTTTAATGTATTTTTAATCTTTGTTGGAAGCTGGGGAGCGGCTGGGGAAACCCAGCCAGATGGGCGGGGTACAAATAATAAATTCTTATTCTTATTCTTATTCTTCTTATTGCATCCTAAAATTGCTTTCAATATCTGCAAGTACCTTCAATGTTTTCTTTAAGGGGTGTGTGTGTGTGTGTGTGTTGCCAATGAGCAAGCAGGCAGTGACAGCTTCTCCTCCTCCTCCTCATCTCTGTTATAGTTCGAGTGGTCATCCCTTCTGGAGTGGCAGAGCAAGAGGAAGGTGAGCAAGCAGTTTGCAGACATGAACAGGAGGCTGCTTGCTTGTTCCACATTTCACAGTCGGCTCAGTTTTACAAAACTCAAAGGAAAAGCTCGTTCACAATTTATATGGATAGATAAAGGGAGAATAATTTGAATAACTGGGGACATGCTGTAGTTAAGCAAAAGTCTAAGCTGGAATTGAGACATGCACAGCTGGCGAAAATTCAGAAAGATGGGAAATGAATAGAAATTAGGAAAAGGTATGTTATTGTGAACAGCAAAGGAAGGAGAGAAAAGAAACATCTGGAAGGGGGATGGGAAACCAACTTTTAAATTTGAATTAATTTGTTGTTAACTTATTAAATTTTTTGAAAATCAATAAAAATTAATTGGCATTTTTTTAAAGAAGTAAAGTCATTCATACATTCTACTTTTGTAGAAGATATAAAGCTAGGCTTGCTATACTATCACTTACTTTTAAATTAAATCAAATTTACTTCTGGGTAGACATGTTAGTAACTAGCTGCTATTTTTAGAGAGAAAGAGATCAAGACCTAAGAACTTCTGCAAACACTAGTCTTGTATTCCCTTGGCACCACATACCTTCTTCTCCTGCACAAGGTGAATGGCAAAAGGAAAACATCTTTAATTGCCTAATAAATGTGAATGTTCGCAAAAGAAAGGTATAAACACAGCATTTGAGCTATAATCCCATGCACATTTACCCGAGAGTAGGGATAGAGGAGGAATTTGATTTTGTTTGCATTTTAAACTACCTAATTCAGACTTTCTGAAACAATATGTGAACCAGAGCACACCTATCTGTCAAAATTCACCCCCCCCAATCATATTTCAAATGGCATATGCTAGACTAGATGGGCCATTGGCTTGATCCAACAGGCTCTTATTATGTTTTTTGTTATGGTTTTATGGTCTGTGATAAGGAATTAGATTGGGTGAGTTTCCATTGTACTTATTTCCATCATTATTCAGTTTTTTTTAATTACAACTATTCTCATACCTCTCTAAAAACACACAGAGTACATTTACAACGGTCTTAAATAAAATCAATACTTAAAAAAAATATTTTATTGATTTATGCAGCTTCTGACAACTTTGAGTTCTTGTCCACACAAAAAAGAAAGTAAGGGTACAGCTTTCAAGAATAATATAATGCTCAGTAAAATACTGTATATTTGATCAGACTAAAGTTGTACCACAACAGCATGAGAAGCCATGCGTGTGTGTGTGTGTGTGTGTGTGTGTGTGTGTTGACCTTTTCCCCAGCCCAGACTTTACTGGGCATCAATGCTATTCCCCCTGCCCTTTCATTGCCCCTGCCCCTATTCCTATTGTACCTACCCCAAAATGGTAAATCTCTCTTGGGGGGAAAGCCACTGTAGCAGGCAGAAAATTCTGGCATAAAATAAAGGATACCTTTTCTTTATAAGACGAAACAACTTTAAAGGTCTCCAGCACAAAAAACCTTTGATCTGCCTAAAATTGTTCAGCATTAATCCACTCTGGATTTGCTCCTTTGCCTGCAAATTTAACCCATTTCTGCAAAATTAGAAACAAGTTGTAGCTGTTTGTAAATTCATAATTTTAGTGAATGGGGAAGATGGGGACGCAACTTTGTTTTTTAGCAACTCTAATTCCAGTCCCAAATAATGAGTCAAATTTGACAGACACAGAGAGGCTCCAAAACAGGTCAGTCGGCTTCCCAAAGCTACAGAATAATAATAATAATAATAATAATAATAATAATAATAATTTTTATTTATACCCCACCCTCCCCAGTCAAGGCCGGGCTCAGGGCGTCTAACAAGCAATAATAAAAACAAGTTGAATGAATACAACTTAAAAACAAGATTAAAATACAACATTAAAATATTGAAACAAGTTGAATCTTGTGGCCAGTGCATACCACCAGGGCCATGTTGAACTAACTGGTCCCACTAGTGGAAGCCAGAGAAAGGACATAGCACATCACAGCTTTCCTTCCTCTCCTTCCCCCCAGATCGATTCAAAATTGCTTTTTGAGTAGATGTGTCTAGGATTGCACTGTTAGTAATGGACATATATGAAATAAATCAAAGGCTCTTCTTCAGAAACATAAGGACATAGTACAGGTGAAGGGTCTTCTATATTTGTGTGCAGCAACTGCTGAGAACTTGTGCATTGTGACTATTATTCATTTTTCAGTTAGTGCAACAAGAGGAGCATACATTAAAGTGCACTGAAAAAAATTCCAGAGGAGTCTCTGTGTTAGCTTCTCACTGCAAAAACAGTCAAAGGGTGCTGTGGTGCCATAAAGCTTCCTTGGACTCGAGCTCACTTTGTCAGATGCATGAAGTGAAACGGTACGTAATATTTGGGAGAAAACTGGAAAGTGGGATTTGAGTGGAAATGAAATGCAAAAATGACCATCAGTGATCATCACACTTTCAAAGTTTGCTAAAACGGGCACATCCTTTACAGTAGGGGTAATCACTGAGATGATTGTATTAACGCCTGCACTGGGGCAGGGAACTATTAATGAGAAACAGTGACAAAGAAGCATCTGATAAAGTAGGCATACGTCCATGAAGATTCTGAACATAATGACTCCGTTAATCTTAATGGGGCAGCAAGACTTCCTGATGACATTTCCTGGGAGGTTATTCAAGATGTGTTTTTCTGGAACGTTTTCTTCAGAGCTGCCAGCACATCCTGATTCCTCAGCCTGTAGATGAGAGGGTTCATCATGGGAGTGATGATGATGCAAAACACAGAAACCATATCATCGTGGTATGGCATTTGGTAGGACCTGGGTCTCAAGTATTTGAACATGGCTGCCCCATAAAAGAGCCCCACCACGGTCAAGTGAGACAGGCAAGTGCTGAGAGCCTTGTGGCTCCTTTCAGAAGAGTGCACCCTCAAGACCGTAGCGAGAATGCACACATAGGAGGCCAGAATGATGGCCGAAGGGAGGATCAGCAGAAGAAAGCCAGTAAAAACCAGTGTCTTTTCCAAGCGAGATGTATCAGAACAGGACAACTTCAGCATCGACGGGAGGTCACAAAAGATGTGATGGATTACATTGGAGCCACAGTAGTGCAGTAGCCGCACGTACATGCTGGGTCCCAAGGCACCAAAGGCACAAAACCAAACCACCGCAGTCAGGATGAGACAGACAGTTCTTCTCATGAGGACCAGATATTGCAGGGGCTTGCAGATTGCCACGTACCTGTCGTAGGACATTGCTGCAAGGATTAGGCATTCTGCGTTGCCCATGAGCAGTACGAAAAATATCTGGGCCGAGCACCCAGTCAGTGAAATGGTGTTCTTCTCCCTTAAAAAGTCCACAAGCATTTTAGGGCCGATGGTGAGAGTTTGAGAAATATCCATGACAGACAACTGACCAAGGAAAAAATACATTGGGGAATGGAGGCCAGAGTCCACGTGGATCAGGTAGAGGAGGAGGCTGTTTTCAGAGAGGACCATGATGAACATCATGACAAACAGAGTCATGATGACACTGGGTGATTTTGATTGGCTCAAAAAAACCCATAAGGATGAATTCTGACCAAGATGTTGCGTTGTTCTTTTCCAGGACCTCTTGAGTTGGCTTGCTTGAATCTGAAGAGACAAGGAGAGACAATGATAGGGAAGGTAGTCCTTGAGTGCTGCCATTTTATTCTTACTATTTTCACTGAATGTCATTCTTTCTTTTTCTAAGAGAAGAAATGTGGTAGTAAAGTCTTCAGTGGGAGTTCCAGAGAGGAGATTGCAGCCGCCTTACTCCTCCTCCAGTCCTACTGCTGCAGTGCTGCTTTGAACTAAGTCATGGCATCCCAACCCAGACTCATGCTGTAAACCCAGTTAACAAACCTTGGCTACAGACTGTGCTCTCTTTGGTCTGAATGGCATGCTAAACCAAACCGTGACTTAGCTCACAGCAGCATGGCAGGAGGAGGAGTGGGGAAGGAGCAAAGTGGTTGCAATCTCATCTCTGGGAGGCCTCGCGCTTTCGCTGACCCATGGTTTGGCTTAGCGTTGCACGTGAACTACCGTATTTTTCGCTCTATAAGACGCACCGAATCACAAGACGCATCTAGTTTTTGGAGGAGGAAAACAAGGAAAAAAATATTCTGAATCTCAGAAGCCAGAACAGCAAGAGGGATCGCTGCGCAGTGAAAGCAGCAATCCCTCTTGCTGTTCTGGCTTCTGGGATAGCTGTGCAGCCTGCATTCGCTCCATAAGATGTGCACACATTTCCCCTTACTTTTTAGGAGGGAAAAAGTGAGTCTTATAGAGCAAAAAATACGGTAGCTCATTGAGTGGAATTATGAATTAAGTAAATGCCTGTCATTTCCAGGGCCGTTTTTTTCCAGCTGGAACTCACTGGAACTCCATTCTGGCACCTCCCAGGTGGGCGCCATTGCCATTCTAAGAGAATAAGGGAAGCGTTCGTGGTGAGTTCTGGCACCTCTTTTTCTAGAAAATTGGTACTGGTCACTCCATTCTAAACAAAGGAGCCCAGCGTGTGGTGTTATTTAATTCAAGCAAATATGATTCAGAAGAAATGCAATCTATTGTCCCAGTTAATAGTCAGTGAATCAAGTAGCCCCCCTGACAGGTGCAATTATTACAGCCATAACAGCAGAAGCCCTTTTCACATCTTACGGATGTAGCGAGGTTCCCAACAGTGAGAGGCAAGCCCTGCAAATGAAGGTGTGAAAGTTATTTGCACATTATGATGATGATTATTTATTAAATTTGTATACCGCCCTATACCCATGGATCTGAGGGCAGTTCACAACATGAAATTACAATGTAAAAAGCACAGAATAATAATAAAAATATAGGATCCTGCTTCCCTCCCCCATTCTCTATTACACACATACATACACACAAATTTTAAGTGTGAAGAGGACTATTAAATGCCATCCTACCTTGACTTACCTCAGGGGTGAAGGACCTGTGGCCCTCCAGTTTCCTAGCAAAAGGCCAGGGATAATGGGAAGTACAATCTGTCAGTATCTGGAGGGACAATCCTAGTTTATATAAAAGAAACGTAGGCTATACATTCCTCAATAAACAAATGAGAAAATGTTTGCGCAACTCATTTCATTAGCACAGAACATAAAACAACCACCTCAAATCATCTGTTTTATTTTTACTGCTGGATTACAGGTGTAAAATTTGTACCTGTATCATTGTGAATCCTTAAGGTGGCGATGGGAGGATCCCACATCTCAATATCTCCCCGAAAACGGAGATGGTCTTTGTTATTTGATGGCACTTTGGTGCTTAATCTCTGTTTTGGAGATATTG